TCGATAATTCTTTTCTCAATTTCTCTTTCCTGTTACTGTCGTCATTTGCGGTTAGCCTATCTACCTACCTACATGCCCTATTAACTGTAGCGAATTAGGGAAGAGAAGCAAAAAATATTTTGAATACTCGCATGCAAGCTATGTAACTAATAAAAAATATAGCTATGTAGCTTTATAATATTTTTTTAAAATTAAAATTGCATGTAAAGAAGACGTGAGCCATTATCAATTATGCATCCTCCCTGGACCTACTGCGATGTCGATAATCCTTCACGTCATTGAGTCGCTATCAAGATTTAATCAAGGTCAAGAACACGTCTCGAATATAACCCCTCTTGTTATGTTATTAAGTTTTAGATTGGTTGTTATCTGTAAATTAAAAATGTTCTGTTGAATAAAATAATTGGAACTAGAATTGTTATTTTAATTACTTTAGACAATTTGGCCTGAAAGGGATAAGCATTTCATTGCCGTCAATGGTGTAGCTGCTATACCATTTTGGGTCCGGAACAGATTTATTTTTAAGTCCTCAAATTATTTTTTAAACCAATAATAAAAATTTAACGTTCTCGTTCGATTGAGGTACTTTTTTTTGCAATGAAGTGGTCATTCAGTATATTAAAAAAAAATCGTTATCATGGGGCCTCACTTATTAAAAATATTTTAAAAAAATGTATGTACTCCATCTAGTTAAAAGAAAATGATTTAAATATCCTAAAAATTAAAATTGTTCTAAGGGTTACTCGAATACTAATAGTCCGTGGTACAGACTGTTTTAGTAAATGAGCCTTTGAGTTGACAGAATGACTAAGTCCTATTTCACTATTTTTGAGTGAAATCATTTTAGTGATATTTCTAATTTGGAAACATATAATATCTATACAGACAGTTAGTGATTTGATTCCAGAGTAGGTGGTTGCAGTGTTGAAATATAGAACTGTGATCAAATCTATAAATTTTCACTCTAGAAATATAACTAAAATTATTAATAAAAAATGTTGAAATTGGAGTTAGTCATTCTGTCTATTGAAAGGCTCAAATTATTAGCGTCCGTCTAAAAATTCGTGAATGGCTTAATTTTATCATAATCCACAACTTTTTTATTTCTCGAAAATAAGTTTTCAATCTGAAGATCGGCAAACTTTGTTAATTATATGAGATACTAAAAATCATCAACACCCATTTGCTTTCCACTTGAACCTCAATATAATTTGATAACAAAATCAATAAAAAAAGATGACTTACAAAAATATTGGGTCGTTTGGGATGATCTTCAACCTCAACATGTCAAAATAACGAGGTTATGCAGACCAAGCGACCCAATATTTTTATAGTCCACGTTTTTCTCAATTTTGTAATAAAATTATCTTACTGTTCAAGTGGAAAGCAAATGGGTATTCATGTATATTTAGTACCTCCGTAAATTAATTAGTTTAATAAGAAAACGCCTCATTTCTTAGAATTCTCGTTAATAAAAAGTCGTATGCTAAGATAAGACGAAGCCGTTTATGAAGTTCTGGACGGATATTAATAATTATATAATAAGAAACATGTTCTGCGGGCTGCTAACGTCTCCTAGGAAACTGTGTACTTATTTAAAAATTGATGATATTCTCAACGTAATTAAAAGAAAAATCATCTACCATTGTTAGTAAGGACTCAGTATATTTTTATTTTAATCGCACTTTTATTGTCATGTTTCCCTAGAACTTGTTCTTTTTTCTTGTTTTTTTTGCGTCATTATTATCCTTATCAGAGTAAATTTAATTATGACGGAAAAGAAATATTAGCGAACGAACCCGCGGGTTTCAGCTAGTTTTTAGATTATGTTCTCGTTTAATAATATATATATATATATATATTAATTTATACAACTTTATCATTCAAAAGAAAATATATCCTACTTACAAATAAAATTTTAAAAACCTATACTTTGTTTATGTTTTTTTAATCATGTAATTTCATTACAATATTTTTCATTCAATTAAAAAAAAATATAGGTTAGTGGAGTCTCAAATATTATTAAAATATGGTGAGAAAGAAAAAGTATTTATTGGGACTCTATTTGCTGACAAAATTAAAATTAATTAATACTATCTTTGTTTCTTATTTACTTATTAATTTCAGTTATTGATTAATAATTATTTTCAGATTCTTTGAGTCTTTTCTTAAATAATGTTTAGCTTTTAGTTGAATGAAATGAACTTGGTATAACCATACTTCGAGCTTACAACGTTGTCACCTTGTGTACTTAATAATGAATAATTCTTATATTAATATCTTATTTGATTTGTATGGCAGTACGTTTCTTTAATGCCTGAAATCTAATTTTAATTTTCCTCTCGATTATTATGTAATCTTAAGGTCGAAAATTGCACAAAATTCTTGAATGTTTTCTCTTTATGTTCTATTTTGACATTGTGCTAGTGAGAAGAAGCTAAAAACGTCTCTATCTTTTTTAGTAGTCATGGTCAGTACAATTCGTTCTGGTTAATGTTTGATCTTTTCGTTAATAATATTATGTTCGTTGTCATGACAAAATTATTTTCTCTGTTCAATTGTTTTAAAATTCAAACTTATTTGGTTGATTAAAATAGACTTGTATTAAAGTTGGATGAGGAATAAAATTACCTTAGTATTTTTTTTTTTTTGTAATTTTAGCCTTAATTGTGTATGTATATACATAATATGTTTTTGTTTAAGTTCAAATTCTTAAAACATCCTAAAAGATAATTTTATTCCCTACTTCATCCTTACAGAAACTAGTTAAGTAAAGTAAATATTTAAAATGTTCTAAGAACAGCAGGTTAAGGGATCTCTTATAAAATAAATGAATCAACAGTATCGATTTAGAATTCTATTTTTAAATTTCTTTAATATTATGATTTTGAATTCTATTTCTACCTAAGTATAGTTTTATGATTTATCAAAATATACTGCCTTATATTAAATATTTAAAAAATAATCTTACGATTCTCTAAATATAAAATCCTTAATTAACATTCTAAAAATCCTTTTTGAAGCATAAACCTGAAGTACTGCAAAATGTTTTAATGCAGTAAAAAATATGAATATGTCCCTCAATAATACTGATATATTGTAGTATCCACAGAACCAATATTTATTGTCTGGGTTTTATTTAAAATGTGTGATAACCCTTATTTCTTCAAAGATAATGTCGAGCTTTTTTTTTTTTTTTTCCTCTTTTCTTAGTGCTGTGGCTTCCCCACGAGAGTCACGTGTGATTCCTTCCTCACGTTTATTAGCATGTGTGGTCAAACATTTATAAATTTAAATATATTTATTTTATTGACTATTTCAAATTAGTTATTTTTTTTAATGATTTTTCTTAATATTATTTTTGTTGATCGTTTTAATTCCTTTTTCCTTACGACATTTTTTCTGTTTCTTTTAACGAATTTAAATTTAATACTTCTTTTATTATTATTATTATTACTATAATAGTATTACTATAATAAACGGTGTACACATATTCAAACGAATAAAATAAAGAAATCTTGAGCATATTATATTGCGATAGTTTTAAAAATTCACAATTGAAAAACAAAATAATTAACTTCCGACAATTTTTGGATATTTTTTTAATGATTACAATGATTGTGATTATGATTATAGTGATGTGATTACATGATCGGGTAATTAAGTTTAATTTTAGGATGATTCACAGTTTTATAATATTCAGTATAAAATATGTTAAAGTTAAGATGATTAATTTTTTTTTTCAATTACAATCCTGTAATCATTAATTACGGTTATTCCCCTCTCTGCATGCAATGCGTTCCAATCAGATTATTGGAATTGTGATTTTCTGATGAGTTTATAACTCATAAAACAAGAATATAAGAATATTGACTCTAAACTATATTAAAAGAAGTATTCTGATTGGTTTTCGGTTTTTTGTGTGGACATTTTTTTTTAACGTGGCTCTTAATATTACTATTAGTAAATATAATAATTAAATCTCTACAAAATAAGTTTTCAGTAAATATTTCAGTAAAAAATTATAATATCTACAAGGCTGAGATACAGAGGGACTTTTTTTTTCTGCTTAAACTATATTGAAAAAATAATACAATGCTAACTACAGAATACTTGTAAATTACAGTTATAATATTTGAAGAACGAGTAGTACAATTAACTGAACAGTGATAACAAACAAATAAATATTGATAGAATATTAATATTTACGCTGTAGAACTTCGTTAGGACTAAAAAAAAAAATAAAAAACAAGATTCAAATAATAAATAATGATTGTCACAGGCGAATCTACGGAGGGGGGAGGGGGAGCTTGCGGTCTGAAGCTCCACCTCCCAAATGATAAAATGTAACAACCATGTTTTATGAAAAAAAAAGTTTCTATAAAAAAAGTATTATTGTTCTTCTAATTAAATTTAAAGAATCACTTGAACACCATTTAATATAGGCAATTAGGTTCTTTATTGCTTCCGAAGTAATTATTCTAATATATGCATACAAAAAAATATTTCGGGCTGAAGCTTCACCCCCCCTCCCAAAATTAAATCCTGGATCCGTTAGTGCTGATTGGTACCGGGTAAAATAATTATTCTTCTTAAAATAAATATTCGATTTTACTGTTTTCAACGTTCAGCGGAGTCTATGTTGGGAGAACCAGAAAAAAAAAAAAAATGTCTCTAGTTAATTCTCACAAATTCCTGTTGTAATCACCTATTGTGTACATCATGAATCTCGATTACTATTCATCATCACTTAAAAGAAAACTAGAGATATATTTACAAAACATGCTAATTGCCAAGGAGATCAACTTAGGACACCAAACCGTCATGGCTTTTCGAGGGTAGCATAGTACCAATATTTACGTATGCTGTGGTATATTAAATTAAAGTGAGCCGAAACCGGTTTATTATTCCATCAATATTAGCAGTATCGCCAGGACGTTAATTAATAACGGAAAATCAACTTTCTAAAGTATATTTTTGATGGAATAATATTCCAAAGGATGGCGATGAAGCTTCCCAAAATACTGAGCAATTGCGATCCGCCACAACGGCCTTCACTTTGATAAAGAAATTTCAATCATGTATTATAAAGAACGCATTTCCTTATCTACGTTGCCCCATATTTATTGACACCGATTCTAAATCAAAAGAGTTATAATTTTTTTCTTCAAATTCTGGTCAAAATTAATTATTTTAAAACCCAGTTGAATCGAGGAAGTAAAAGTTGTTGAATTAATACAACTTTAATTTTTACATAATTTTTTGTTGCTATTGGTAGGAATAACAGCCTTCATTTTTCCCCTTTGCAAAAGCTCTTATCTTTCTTGACGTTTTTCAATATTTTTCTTGAATTTGATGATGTTTTCTGCCGTCTCGACCAATCGATAATTGAACCTCCCTTAAAATTTGATAAAGAACGGTCATCAGATAAGTGGTTTGAATAATTTCATCAATTAATATTTTAAATTAATAGAAAAAAAAATTATGTACTTTGGAAGTATTATACTATTGCCACCGTTTCATTAAATGACTTTATCCGTTTCATTTTTGCTATAGTTCCCATAAAGTTCACTTTGCTTTAGTCTTTTAAGTCTGGGGTATAATGGCTCGGATAAGCATTATCCAAAACTACTCTCAGTAGGCTCATCCAACGTTACGATGGCATTGACTCGAAGGACGAAGAAGGCATGCCGAGAGGGACATAACACTATAGATAAAAGAATTGTGCGAAGGAAATAAACTGTAATGGATTTATTTGTATGATATTTAATACGATGGCTTTATAAAAGACATATTTGGATGCTTTCTTTTAATTTTTTCATCCCAGGGAATGAATGCCAATATGTGATGTATAGAAATATTTAAAATGATACTCCTTCTTGTCCTTATAATTTTATCACCCCTAGGGATACCAATTCGTAATTTTTAATGCTGATTAGTTATATCTGATCTAATAATGTCATTAAATGTAAATCATCATCCAGTGGTTGAGTAATTCTTGTCGAGATAATAGATTGCAATTGCTTAGCTTTATGGTCCATAAAGAAATTCAAAGTTTAATAGGCCTCTTTCTCTGATTTATGTCCAATATTTGATAAGAACATGGGGCAAAGCATAAAATGACAAATCAAGGAACTGCAGAGATACCCAGAAGGGGGTTTCATGGCCCAAGTTGCGCCATAACAATTTTTGAGGGGGCCATATTTTGACGGGTTTTTGAAATTTTGAGAGGGGGGAACTTTCGATGTGGTTATAAATTTTCGAGTGACAAGGTGAAAACAGACCGTAGCAAGGATAATTGTATATATTTTTTTCTAATTCTACCATATCTTGTTACGTTTTTAAGAAAAGGTAAGCAATGAAATATCTTGAGAGGTGGGGAGGAGATAGATTCTTGCGTCATCGACCTTGGGGAAGGGGGTGTGAACCTGAGGAACTGTAACGACTTTCAAAGTAACAAACTTTTTTTGAAGAACTAATTAGTGTAAAGTTGGAAAGTTTAAGTTTGGTGTAACTCTTTCATGAATATTTAATACATTTAAAGCTCTTTAAGTCAGGAATTTGCCTACTACTTTCTATGGTAGTGCCTTGGTTTTGTTGTGGTGTACTAGAAGTGACCAAGTATGTTAACAATATTGCAAGTAAAACAATAAATAACATTTATTGGAATATTAATGAAGCCACTGGCGCGCGGCAGCTTCGTTCCTCAACTTTATATTATCAAATTACCATCTTACATTTATTGGGTTTTAACAATCCTTAGTGAGGACTCCATACCCAACAGATTCTCCGAAAATCCTGATGGCCCACATCCTATGCGTAATATTCCAATCCAAATAGGACATAGAAGAAATGGAAAATAAATAAATAGTCCTGATTCCTTCTGAAATCGTTCTATAAGTAAAAAATTGCGTTTAATTATTGTTTCACAGACAAACTTTCAAACACTTTATATCCTTGATTATATTTATCCAGAGTTTAGAAAATTGTATCCTGGCGTAATACATTTATTATGTGTAACCAAACATTTGTTCATCATTAAACATACTGACGCAGTACTAATCAGAAGGAAATGTAATGTTCACTTCATAGGAGCGTTTGATCCTGTTATCTTACAGCGTGTTCTTATTTATTTTGGAAGCCTCATTCCGATTGTAATGAAATGTCTTTGTGTTTTCTCAGTCTTGGAACGAAAAAGGAATCGAAGCAAACACAACCGTAAGTACGTTGAATGGAAACTAGCAATAATTTATAAGTTTCTTACCTTAGTTCCGATGTCAGATATCCTGGTTTGTCGTGGGATTTCTTCAAACTTTTTAAGTCTTCTGAAAGATTTGGACAGAATGCAAGTTAGTTGAATGAATGAGTTACATTTTTTTCTCTAACATTTTAGGGGATGTTACCATTTTTTCACCTGAAGGAGATAATCTTCAAAACGATGGGACAATTATTAGATTTTATGAGAAATTAACGAAGATACAGTCACCAACACAGAAATAATAGAAAGAAAACACTTTAGAGAAATGATATATAGTAGATATTTTATTTTATGTGATAAGGAATCGAGGCAACCGTTGTATCAAGATTTATCATGACTAGTATAAGATTTGGCCCACGCTTTATCTAAAAAATGGTACATTTTTGGGCTTTAAAAAGCCGACTTTCGCGTGTATATATATATTTGAAACAATTAATTTCTTCTATTTTCAAAACTATCTGTTTTGAAACCCCGTAATATGATTATAGTAAGGTTTTCAGTTTTGAAATTATGATTCGGTACTTCTCCATGAAGTTCATTTTCGTTTGATACCTAATTTATCATAACCCATCGCTGAGGAGAGCTGAAAAAGGTATCTATACTACCATATTATACGTAGTCTAGATAGTGCCAACAAATTTAATATTCTAAAATCATCTTATAAACCATTGTTAAAACATGGAGTCGATATATCCAGCTGTTTCCTCCGAATCTGCTTCATCGACAAAGCACCTTTGTGAAGCAAGTTATACAAATTTTGAAATCTATTTTTACAAATTTTATCAATTTTTTTTCACTTCAAGCAATGCTGTTTGGAGATATAAAGCGAGAAGTAAACTGTGAATGAAAAATTAGAGTTGAACTATGGAAATATAAAATCTCAATTGCTTAATTTGAATACATATATATTTTTGCTTTAACACTGTCAAAGTTTGTATTAAGAAACTTGTCGTCAACCAGATAACTGGAACCAAAATATTTAGCCTCTCGCCGAATTCGTGTACTTTAATGTATTAGTAGTGGGACTACTTTAATGTATCAGTAGTGGTTATTGCTGATGATAACGAACATCGGGAACACGGATTCGAATCTTGTGAAACATGCATTTTGATATTTCACAATAATGTCGCTGTTAGTTGAATTGGGTGATCGTGTTTCTCATAATTTGTGAAATATCTAAACGCACCTTAAGAATCTCTGTTAAGTTTGGACCAGGGTCAACTCCCGCCTTTCATGCAGAAGTGGCTTGGCCATGAAAACCGGAATTAAAAGTACATTAGTTTTAATTGATTTCGTTTGGTCCACAACCAGTTTTCCTATAATTTTATCTTGTACATTTAGTAAGGTGATATAATTTCTTATCATTTGAAGAAAATAGATATGTACGTCTATGCATATGTGAAACTGAATAACTAACATATATTTGTTCAATTGTTTTATGTTTGTTATCTGATATCCAGGGGTTCCCAAAGTGTGTGCATTAATATTTATTAATAAATTATTTACAATCACTCAAATTTAGAATTATGTCTGGTCAATTTTTTTTTTTTTTTTTTCGGTTTATATCTCTCTCTTTATGGAGGGTCCTTCCATGATTAGTTAGTCTCAGTAACTAATAATTTGTGAACATCTGATCTTTTAACAATTAATGCATACCCTTCCTTGATTTCTTTAAAGCAGTGCAACTCTTATCTAATTTTGAAAGTTGGACACTGACCACTTTTGTTCCCAGTTACTTACATATGATCAAATAAGGGTAGGTATTTTATTATATCACAGCTATAAGGATAAATGTAATAAGAATTTTTAGTCCAGCAAGGGTATCACAAAAATGTTTTAATCCGACTAGGATTCAAAAAATTTTGTCAGCCTGGTAAGGATGTCCCTACAGAAAGTTTGAGAACCTCTGCTGTATGGCTTATATACAAGTGTTTTTATATATTAATTATTTGACCTTTATTAATGGAGATCGAGTAATTGTTAGAAGTGGCTAGCAATATATTTATTGCTAAGTGAATCGTTATTCTAAGAATACTGGATGTTTTGTTTTAAGGTCAATTCGTAGGCCAAGACATGTCTTCCAAGAGAGAATTTTTAAAGCATTAATATGCTACATATACTAAGTATATTCCAATGATATTTTTACAGAAAAAAAGTATATTTATTATTTTTTCTTTTAAAGACAGAAATCAATTTATTTTATATTTTATATTATTAATGTAAATTTAAAAAATATAATGTAACTGTGGAGAGACCGAATATTAAATTCTCTGTAAAATGAATGCTTCAATAAAATAATTGATGTTTCTATACTATTTCAGATTTAATTATACATCAGAATTATATTTTCTTGATTTAAATTCTTTAGGATTTTATTTTATTATATATATTTTTGACACTGTTTCGTTTACATTCCAAATACTAAGAGTCTACTCACACCCAATGTACCTAAGTATATCAGCCTATACAATCATTCTCATCACTCTAGTTGACTGAATTGTATTCACACTAAGAGCGTACCTTAATAGAACTTCATGGAAGGGAAAAAATCAGTCAAGGTATTGTCTCTTCATTTCTATTTAAAAATATCTTGCTATTATAAAAACAGAACCTAGCTCATTTTTTGAAGTAATTGTTAAAAATTTCGAATGTTGGTGAAACATTGTAAGCATTTAACTTTTATAGTTTAGTTAATCAAAAATAGGAAACATGCATATTTAAATGAAATATAACATTTAAATAATATAATTCCTGAGATCTTTAATCCCAGATCTCTGTTATAAGACGTGCAATTACTTTACTTTAACTTTTCATCCTTTATTAGGTATTGTAAAGATTAAACCCATATCCCAGAGGTCAGCGGTCTTTCGCATTTTAAACTTTCTTTTTTATAAAGAGTGAATGATTAGTCATAGAATATAATTCTTAATAAATAATAAAATACAGTTCTATGCCACTCTTTGAGTTAGGATGTCCATACAAATCATTAGAAAATGTAAATTATTAGTATCATAAATATTTTCAAAGTTCAATTGTTTACTTTTCGACACAATAAAAATGAACAATGGATTGTTCTCATTGAAATTGTTTTCTGTACTTTTTGTGCCTGGTATGCATAGCAATTAGCTTTGGCATTGAAGGATAACAAAGAATAATGGCCATGAATAGAGATTTTTACATCTTTTCACAATATTAAAGGTTAGTATCCTATCTACTTGTATTCTCACTATAAATATTTTAATTTATTTTGTAAAAATAATTACAAATTACTTTTAATTTGTTTGTTTTGATTTAGTTCAATTTATCTTTTAATACTAATTTTTCTTATTCTAATGTTTTGATTGATATTAAAACAAATGTTGATTATTGAAAATAATACACTAAAATTGAATTTTCTCAAGGCCAGAAATTAGTGTGAACTGTCAGAGTGAAGGCTGTGTGGTTTGATTTTGACTAGACAATTTCCTTCTCTTCTCAGCCATAAAATAAATAACTGAAATTACCCTCGAAATCAGGTTATTGGAGTATAGTAGTGATCATATTGTCTCTCCAAAATACCATCAGATTGATAATTTTAATTTTAATCTCCATCCTGATTCCTCAATGTGTTGTTAGATATGTATTCCTTAATTGGTGTGATTCAATTGTCTTTTTCTATTAAGGGAGTTATGAATCCTTAGATTTCTGTTCATCATTCACCTTAAAAAAAGTATTGAGTATTGTAGGAAAATTATCATAATCCAATTATTCCAAAAGTAACAATAAACAAAAAGAGAAAAGTTTATTTTACTCAATTAGTTAATTTAATTACTTATTAGTTTACTTTATTTTTAAAAAACTACTTTTTCAAGATATTTACAACTGTATTTCAATATAAATGCATCTGTGAACCCAGGAATATAATCTACTTCATTTTAAAATATGAATTTACAAAGCAGATATTCTCTCGTCTTGCATTTATCGACTCACATGTGGTGGGTGTTGTCTTGATAATGTTTTAAATTAATTACTTATGTATATTTTCACATTTTTTCTTCAAAATAACTTATCTTGTCTCGTGTTCTTTTAAAGATCTATTTACAGTCTACAAAAAAAATGTTCATAATTTTTCTGCTTTTACAGAGGTGTCTTTGGTTGGAAAGGAAAATGTGAGTCTGCTGGAGATGGTTGGAGTTTGTTTAGCAAAGGCAGTGACAGCGATGGAAGCAGGCCTTCGTCTGCCCTCTCTGAAGTAAGCTGTGACTAATTGATTTTATTTCTATTTCATAAATTAAAATTTAATAAGATACACTCCTAATAGTGAAAAATCACCATTGCATTTGTTTTGCTTTTTAATGTTAAAATAATTTCCTTTTGTAATAATGCACTTTCGATTTCCTTTTTCTTAACATCATTTGTTTTCAATTTGTAAAAATTGATGTTGTTCTATTTTGAATATATTTTTTTTAAATCTTAAAAACTGCATTTGTTGGAAAGAATATTTATACCTGCATTATCTTAATTAGCTATAGTGTTATTATCCTCCACTTTTGCTTAGTTTGCAGTATTCTTTCTAAAATTAAAGGTCAGCTGAATGTTTTGTTTTATTAAATAAAAAATTCTGTTGTTTATGTTGAAATGATACTAATTATACTGAATTAATTTATAAAACTAAAAAAATTTAAAAATTTACTTTTGAAATGATTTCTTTTATTCCTTTAAAAGTATGTCGTGAATAGTAATTTTCCATTTATTAAGTATAACATCATAAATTCTATCTAATATAAATTGGTACTTATATTTTAGGACCGGCGCTCTTTAGGAAGTGATTCAGTTTTGGGTAGTACTGGTTTGATACAGCTTGAAAGGCCGGCTTGGCTACCAGCGAAACCTAAACAAGAGCAAAGGGCTCATTCTTACCAGCATGAAAAAATTCTTCAAACAATTAGGAAAAGAGGTTAGCATTCTCCTTTTTTTCTCGCTTTATTTATTATAAAATGGTCTATTTCTCTGACAAACTCATTAATCATTTTTCATCACACTGAAAATACAGTAGAACCTCACTTATCCATCATATTCAAGATTAAGACATCATACCTAGAGGGATGGTTAATAAGAAATAAAGTAATAATAATGATATAACTTGAATATTTGGTGAAAATTAATATACAATACAATATTGCTAAAATTCACCAAGTATATTTTTGATGGAGCTTAACTTTTAAGTATGTTTTTGTGAATTTTGACCTTATTTATTGATACAAAAACACTCTAAGCACACAAAAATAACATGGGCCCTTTTATATATTCACATTCGGTGCATAATTATATTCTGATTTCACAGAGAGAAAATTCATGAAATTTCTTTGTGATTAGTGATGTAGTGTCATTTAATTACTTTTTGCAATAGACCAATGCCATGTATATTTTTATTTGATGAAGTTTAAATTATTAAACCAATTTTTTTTCCAATCATTCAGCTTTTATTTATCATTCACTGAGTCAGTTATATTTTGTTTTACCTAACTTAGTGTTTTCATATACTAAAAGGAAATTCAAAGTTCTATGAAGGATAGTGTAGCACTTTTTTTTGTATTATACTTTTTTAAGATACTGGCTATTATAAAAACAACTTTCTCTTTTTTAAATAAAACAAATTTTTGGGAAATTAAAATTTATTGACATTTTGTAATTTTTTATATTAGAAACTTATAATGTGAGTTGATATATTCTTGCTTATATCAGTTATTAAAATTTAAATCTTTGCTGAAACTATGTTTAATGCATTAACAATTCAATTATATCAGACAATTTTTTTATTACATAACAAAAGAAAAAATATATTTAAAATGTTGTATTTTTTATTTTTGTGTAATATTCTATGAATAATTGAATTTTATTTTCAGAGCTGAAAGAAGCTAAACATCGGAAAAAAGTGCTCCAGAACCAATTGAAGGTTGAAGATGAACTTGCTAATGCAACAAAGGTTTGGACTCAAGAGATATTACCAAAATGGCCTGAAATGTAAGTTCATTATTTTATAAATACCTAATTTTTTGATATATTTAATTGAAAAGTAGCTATTAACAATATCTCTCTTGATAATGGGACACTTTTAAATAAATAAAAAAAAAAAATCTAAGGACATGGACCAATTGCTTCCCATAGCCTTGGACCTTTTTTTATTATTCTCATGCATCTGATTGTTGTCCAAGGAAATATTAAAGCTTGTCATTCTATATATCTATCATTCACTGTATATTTAATCCTTTTGTTAAACTTGCTAGTTCAAATTGGATGCTAATTGCAATTTTTTTATTGTTTATGTTGGATTTTAATTATTTTAGTTCTAGTATAATACATGTAACTATAATTTTGAATTTATTAGTGAATTAAAACTTAAAAGTATAATTGATAATCTACATATTTTTAAACCATTTTACTCAAAAATAAATCTTGCTTTAGGATTAATGAAAAACCATTCATAGTTAGTACTTTTGCAGAGTATTTTTATTTGTATAGTATTGCTAACATTTTGGTATTGTATTCAGTCAGAAGATTTAATTTTTATGCATACAAATTTCATCATTTTTACTTTCACTTATACATGAAATATATAGTAATGGTAAGTATTGCAATCGTTAAAAGCTTTAATATGGTTTATTTAAAAAAATTAACTTTCTTTTATTGACAGTAACTATAAAAAAATAGCTATATATGAAGTTTAAAAGAATATGATAATTGGAAACTGGAAAAATAAAGAATAATGCTTCTCCCCCGTATAATAATTATGCCCCGCAAATAACAGCCAGAAGATATACGTATAATATATCATTGGAAAGCGGAGAATTTGAGAAAAAATAATATCGAATAAATAAAGTTGTAAAAAGTAATGGAAAGTAATGAAAAAAATATAAATAATAATTTCAGAAAACTAACATTATTTAACGTAAATCACATGTTTCAAATAAAATTTTCGTACCATATATAAACGTTTAAATATTTTTCTAAAATTGAAAAAAAAATTTAAATCCACGGAATCATGCCACTGCCATTGTTTAAAATTATTATTTAATTGTACTTGTGTGAATGAAGAAGTGAAATATAAAAATATTTCATGGATATGTTTATAACCTTAAATACTTTTACTGTAGTTTAATAACTCTAGGTATGATATTATATTTTAATAATTAGGTTCTATCGTCTATTTATTAAAAAAAATCATCAAGTAACCTTTTAAAAAATTAAATTATTTGAATTTTTCCTTTGTGAAATCTCAACATTATCCACTTACAATTAGTGTGCCAACTTTTGTCCTATCCATGGCAGGCAATGAAAATCTTGTAATTTCATTTTAATAAACTTTACAATGGAAAATAACAGTTTAATAACTGATAATCCTACAATCATATATAGGTTAAATATTCAGATATACTTTAGATTCTCTCTAGGCATATATGAGCCTTTTGGTTGACAGAATGACTAACTCCGATTTCAACATTCTTTATTATTAATTTTAATGATGTTTCTAGTGTCAAAATGTATACCCTTGTTCACAGTTCTATATTTCAACATTGCAATCACATTCTCCGGAATCAACTTGCTCACTGTCTGTATAGATATAACTTTTCCAACTAGAAATATCACTAAAATGACATTACTCAAAAATGTTGAAATTGGAGTTAGTCATTCTGTCAACTGAAAGGCTCAGAGACTGAAGTCTATGCCAATTTAAATATATTTCAAGTAAAAATACGATATTCAAAAATTATTTTCAAGAAAATTAAATTTTTTTTTAGTCCCTATTTCTGTGTAAGGATTGTAGGCCTTGGCCTTCTCTTTACATTTCCTAAAGAAAACACCTGCAATTCCTTTAATTTTATTTTTGTTGTAGTTCATGGGAACTATATTTCACCAAAAGTAAGGCCAGTTTTCAAAGTTCCTTTTCGTGAACTAGTTCGTTCACGAACTACCCATCACTATATTGATTAGTATTATTAAATTATTATTATAAAATTATTAGGAGAAACCATAAGAGGACCCAGGAACTGTGGTGGCAAGGAGTTCCACCCTGTGTGAGAGGGAGGCTTTGGCGTTTGGCTATTGGCAATGACCTTAACATCACCCATGACTTGTATGAAATCTGTGTTCAGAGGTAATTTTTATTTATTTATTTTTTTTTTTTACTCGTACTTTTTTTGTATAAATAAATCAGTCTTAATTATTTTCTATAATTCACAATTTAAATGTAATGAATTATCAAAAAGTTTTATGGTTTTTTTCCATTCAAATCAATGGTTAATATTGTGATTTTAGTGGAAATAAGCATCTTTTTAAAATACATTAGAAATTATCATAATCGTAATTTCCTATAGTGCATCAATTAATTTGTATCCTATAGAGCTCAAGATAGGCTTCGAAGCGCTTCAGGAAGCATGGAAGCATTAGATGAACCATGCATTGATTCTGATCGAGAGGGAAGTATGGAGTTGATTCAGTTAGACATCAGTAGAACTTTTCCCCATCTCTGCATTTTTCAAAAGGTATCAAATAATAATACTTTGTAAATTCTAATAATACCTCTGTACAAAAATAATTATATTTCTTTATACTAAACATTTAATTTTTTTTCTTTCTTTCTCTGAGCATGCCTTTCCTTTGCAGATGAATCTCTCTAAACAAGAAATACGAATTTTCGGGGAGATAACGGTAATTACTTGTCTCGTAACGAGTTTAAGTAGACACTATTGAGTAGATTATTTGTAAAAATTAAAATCGTGTACTGTTACTTATTATAATTCAATAATAATATAAGATGTAGTCAAATAAAATATTAACCATCAACTATCTTTTTTCTTTTTTTAAATATTTACATTATTTGTTCAGTTCACCTTATGTTTTTATTTTTTTGCATTAATTATATTTTAAATCTTCGAAGTAAATTCTATTTTACATTTATCTAAGAGTTCAAGCTAGCTTAGTGAGAATATAAGTTCATAAATTACAAAAATAAAATAAAAATCCATTTTTGGATCCTTTAAAAATTGTTCAGTTTAAAACAAAAGAAATGGAAGCCCTTAGTACTACTTTTAATTAACTAATTAAATTTTAAATGCATTTTTCAAGTATCACTGACAAGGGGAGAGTTATTCCTCTGTAATTTTTGTAGTCTGGCCGATCACCCTTGCTGTAGATTGGGCAGATTATTCATTTTTGCCGTTCTACAGATATCTTTTGATCAACCCAAATCTGCACAATTAAGTTGTGGAGTGTCTTATGTCCACACTTTCATATTTAAAGAGTTCCATTAGTTGGTCATCCATACCCGAACTATTATTGACAAACATTCTGCTAGCTAGGATTAACATAAATATTTTTAACATGCCAGTAGGAGTGGGATTCCTCAATAGTTGTTAAAATCCATATTTATTCCTTTTTATGAATTGGAATAAAGGGACAATATCATTATAAACAATAAATTTACTTTTATGCTGCGAGTACTAAAACAGAAATCACAAACTCTTTATGTTATACCCTTATTTATGCTATTAGTCAATAAATCTGCAATATCTCTGAACCGAACTGAACTTGCTACTTTCATTTTAATCAATTAATATGTGAGCTTAATAAAAAAAAAAGTTTAATGTTATTTTTTAATAATTTATTATTATAATTTCATAAATATTTCGAGTTTCAGTGTCATGTTTAACCAAAGGAGTCTAAGATATTAATTAATAAAGCAGGGGAGGTCAATTTATTTACAAATTTATTAATTATAATCACGAGTTTAATGTATTATCAACTTTAATTGAGTTTGAAAAAGAAATTAAGCTAATAAATGGATTTCAACATTTAAGAAAATTAAACCAGAGATGGATGAAATTGGAATCAATGATTGCAATCATAATCAAGTAATCATGACTGCTGTAATCGTAGATTATACCCATTAATGAATTAAACCAAGACTTGTAGGATTCATTTAGCTGATTGATGTATAATCGTAACATTGAGTAAAGCAATATCAAACAACAAAAATTAATAAAAGAATTAAAACAATAAAATATGATAGATCCCATGATAATGAGAATCAGAAGTGACAAACATAATTTTAAAATTTAAATCTATTAATAATTCCAAACACAAAGCTTGAAGTCTCTAAAATGCTTGTAACTTGTCAATGTTTTATCAATTCAGGTATCATTATGACAAAAAAACAATCATTGTATACAGACAAATTACTTTGTTTTATTTCTTTGGTTATTTTATTTTTCTTCCATTTTAGAAATTCAAGGCTTGAGGTTTAGAATTTGTCACTTATAAGTTAACATTTATTTAATTTCTCGTTTTGGATTATCTTCCTTTTTCTGAATGTATTAACAATTAAATTACTATTAGCCTATAGCAGTTCTTATATTATTGATTGATTTACTAGAGAGGCCCATACTATGAAATGCTACACAGCCTCCTGGCAGCGTATGCTTGCTATCGGCCGGATGTTGGTTATGTTCAGGGGATGTCCTTTATTGCAGCAGTACTCATCCTTAACATGGACCCACCAGAGGCTTTTGCTTGCTTCGCCAACCTACTTAATAGGCCATGTCACAGGGCATTCTACAGCCTGGATCAGTACTTGGTGAGAGTTAAATGAATTATTTTTATTAAGTTCATTTTTTCATAATTACTATAACTTAGTTTATTTTAATAATTCATAAATTAATCACCAATTGAATTTTAGTAAGTTTTTTAGAGGAAATCCATCTCGCTATCAATGCTGTAATATGAGTTGATATATCTGGTTTGTAATTTTATATTTATTTAAATTTGTTTTTTAAACTTGATTTTCACCTATATAAATTTAAGCTGTCCATCACAGAAAAAAAAACCAAAAATGCACTTTTTTCTAATATGGCTGATAAATATTCATAGCGCTGTCATTATAAAAAATTTTTATTTGTGACTTTTCAACCCAAACATGTGGGTCATCCTCAGGGCTGAAAATTTTAAAATACAATCAGATATATAATATTATACGACCGATAATGGTAAATAATAAACTATAGTGATTGATGGTACATGAATCTTAACTATTATTACAGTACACAAATTTTTATTTTTATACTATGGTTAGCCAAATAATATTTATAATAAAGACAGTTGTAATAGATTGAAAAGAAACGTAGGACAATATATTATACATTATTTTAAAAATAACAATATTAATCATAAAAGAAGTATGTATTGTGTTAAGGATTACATAGTTTTAATAGTACAAGTGTAAACATATCTGTGTCTGTTTATAGCATATATTTATATTGGGAATGGGCATTATATGTATATATATTATACATATAAAATAAACGTAGGAGTAGTTACATATGCATGTTGACGGGGAAATGGAGCAAATGAAAAACAAAATTTTAATGATTACTAGTGTAAACATATCTGTACAAGTGTAAACATATCTGTGTCTGTTTATAGAATATATTTATATTGGGAATGGGCATTATATGTATATATATTATACATATAAAATAAACGTAGGATTAGTAGTTACATATGCATGTTGATGGGGAAATGGAGCAAATGAAAAACAAAATTTTAATGATTATAGACAATTGTTTTAGGAGGCGGAAAATATTCAAATATGTGTTGCCGATCTTTTCTTTGTCTACTTTGTGGTTTACCGGGTTAATTTTTTCCAGGTTATTTTAAATAAATTAAAATCCCTACCTATAGAAATCTCATCTCTTATAATTCCACTGCTCCCCAGTGCTACAACTTACTGAAAATCCATATACCAGGCAATCCTCTTCGACCTGTTATTTCCAACATTAGCTCTCCATCTTCTAAACTCAGTAAATTTCTTCTCTCTACCATCCAGTCTCTCAGTCAAAATAATCCATATGACATTAAAAATTCCTTGCACCTATTATATCAACTAAAATCCCTGAATGTACCACCACATTTTATCTTAGCCTCTTTTGATGCAGAAAGTCTCTTCACCAATATGCCTAAAAACCTTGCTCACCAAATAATTGAAGAAAATTGATCTACCATAGAACCACACACTTCTCTTAATCAATCCTCATTTCTTCAGTCCCTCTTTCTATGTTGTAACTCCGGCTATCTATTTGTTCAAAACAAATTTTTTCATCAAACTTTCGGCTTGGCGATGGGTAATTGCCTTGCACCAGACCTCAACAACCTAATTGATTCTATACTACCCAAATTTCCCAATGATATTTTTTTCATTAAAAAAATATGTTGATGACCTTTTATTACTCCTCAATCTCCACACTATTCCAAACATACTTTTTGCATTTAACTCATACCACCCTCGACCCTGTTTTACCATTGAAATAGAATCAAATAATTTCCTCTCATTTCTTGATCTCCTCATTTCCAGAAATAATGATAATACCTTATCCACCAATTAGTACACCAAACCTACCTACTGCGACCGTCTCCTAAACTATTTTTTCCAACACCCTTATCACCAAAAAATCAGTGTAGCTAAAAATCTGATATACAGCAGTCTAACATTAACTGACCCGCAATTCCATGAGAATAACCTAACCAAACTTCATAAGATCCTGAAATCCAACGCCTTTCGTGATCACATTATAAAAAACCTAATTAAAAATCAATCCAAACATCATCTTCACCAGTCTGCTACAAACTGCTCTCAATCTCCCACCACGATTTCGCCATTCCATACATCCTAGTCCTATCTGAAAAAATAAAAAAAGCTTTAACTTCCAAATTTCCCCATCTACAAATAGTTTTCAAAAATAACAGTAAACTAAGAAATCTATACACCAAACTCAAAGATCCTGTTCTGCTCCTACAACAATCAAATATTGTATACCATATCACGTGCTCTAGCCCAAACTGCAATTCTTATATAGAAGAAACCAAAAACTATTTAAAAAATAAATATATATCAAAACAAATACAGCATCTCCACACGAAACCCGCTCGCCTCGAAACTAGCCGACCAGGGCATAACCCTCAACCACACATTTGATTTTGAAAACCTAACCATACTTACTTGCCACAGTACCCAATCACCAAAAACAACTGCTTTCTGAACCTATATTCATCAATTTGGAAAAAAATAACCCAATAAACCACAAAGTAGACAAAGAAAAGATCTGCATCACATATATTTAAATATTTTCTGCCTTTTAAAACAATAGTCTATAATTTTAAATTATTAATTCTATTAATTAATAATTAATTAATTTTTGGGGTTTTCTTTAATATTATATTTTGGTATAACCATATAAATCAGTTTCGCTTGCAATTTGTCATTAATGATGCATAAAAAACCTGTACTACTACAATCCATGAAGGGTCTTGCGTTCAGTACTATTTAGGGAAAGCACTGTTTCTTAGTCAACAGTTGTACAAGGAGGTGATTTGACTGAGATCACGCTTAACAGCCAAGTTTTCCCTAAAAGGTTTTGAATAATTAATTAAGGGTACCCACTTCATTGAGGCTAGGTGTTCCCCAGCCCAGGAGGATCTCCTGATCCCATGGCTGATGAAACAGAATAAATAATGTTTCTCCCATGAGCCAGGATTCGAACCCAGGACCTTGAGAATTGGAAGATCAGTGCCCCACTCCCAACTGATGATGCATAAGATATAAATAATCTATCGTGGCCAAGTGCCTCAAAAAAGCTGGTTCAAATCTGGATCTAGCGTGTAGGATTAACTTTCATTTAATAGTAGACACATACAGTGAGGATGTAGGTTCCAGAGTGTCCATTTCTGAATGTTCTGGGTTTGATTCTCAAACTGGCAAGTATGCAACGGTAACATGAAAGTATCCATCAAGGGTTGGCAGAAAACTCACTTGCCGGACCAGTTCTTTTCACCAGTACCATATGTCGTGATTTCAGAACCTTCCAACTCTTTTAATGGTTGTTCTGTAGGATAAACTACCTGAATAGAAAGAATACCTGACCTAGTTCATACACAATTACCAACCAGAAAAATCACTAAAAGTTTATCTTTCATAAGAATGATTTATTATAATGTTTTTATTTTAGTACTTAAAAAAAAATATATATATATATATATATAATTAATTTCTGATCAATTTTACATACATTTATAGTTATATGTGCAATAAATGGTTTTTGTTATTATTTAAAGGTAGTTTGATGGATTATTTTTGTTGTTTTTGTCAAATTTTTTTTTAAAATTCATTCCGACTTTTTCTTAGTGATCAAGTAATCTTGTATGCTAATATTTAATTAATTTATTTTGCAATGAAGTGCAATGAAAAACAATTAAAAAAATACCTTGTAATACCAATTTTGTTATTAATTATAGAAGAATGATTATAAACCAGGAATTTCATTGGGACACATTTTGTTGAAATTTGATAAGTATAATTCTGGATTATTTTTATTATACATGTTGGCGTTGTACTGTGTTCATTGCCTCTCCAATTAATGAGTACAGGGTATTATTTATATTTCTTTAACAAAATATTTTTTCAATTAACGATATCACAAAGCCAGTTGTCATTTATTTATTAGTTATGATAATGTAGAATGAAGAGTGGTATAACTGTTATAATAACAAATAAAAAAATATTTCTATATACGTTATATTTCTCCTTTTTTTAATAAGTGCCTGTTATGAAATTTTTTGAACATTTTAACACTAGTTAACATTGATTATTAATACTTTAGGTATGTACATATATTTACTTAACATTTGAGACTTTCCCTTTTCACAATCATTAAAAATAATTAGGTATAAATAATTCAATGCTCACATTTTATAATATATATTTACACAACGTAGGTAGTTTCATAACTCCTTTAATAAGTTTATATTTATTTTTTTACAGTCATAAAAGTATCTTATATTTTTGATTCTCAGAAAACTAATCACAACTGATTTTTAAGCAGAAAATAGTTTGTAACTGAGAAAAATATAAATTTCATACTTGAGCATATTTACACTTTTGGTCCCTCTAAATTTTGGGCCTCTTACTTTCGGTAAAATAATACAACCAATGCCTATAACCTATTGCTCTAGGAAATTTTTACTGCTTCTTCTGAATTTTCTGTAGCTGGTAGCTTGAGGTAGGTTGAAGTAGGTGTAAGAGCATCATAAAGCCTAATGATGGCAGTCTGTACAACTTGCTGTAGTGTCGCATCTTCCTTGCACTTCACTTCAAGTTGCAACAAATCAATGTTAGCCTTTTTGTTGTCAACTGTAACATGAAGTTTATCTCCTTTAAATATTTTAGGAACACATTCTTCTCCAAACATGTCCTGTAGCATCTCTATGACGCATTCCTTAAAATGCATACGATCCATTTTCATGTGGACATTAGCAGGAACAATCCTGGGATTGATTGTTTCAGATTCAAGTATTGTCGATACTATACAGTCTGCAAACATGTCATTTACTGGATTAGCTACCCACTGAATAGTTACGGATTTTTTATTTAAAGTGATATCTATTGCATCAAAAGCTATTAACTTTTTCATTTCTACTGGAACGAGTGGAGATGCAATATGCTGTAGCATTGAACGAAGTATTGCAAAAGATCCTGTAAAAGGAATGTGTTGTTGTTGTATAACAGAACTGATGCTTAGATTTGTATATTTTGACAGATCCTTCGCTGAAACTATATGATAGTTAAATTCTCGTTTAACTAATATACCTGATAATTTCTCACCTGCTTTTGGAGGTTCCACAGCTAATGATCCCATCACTTTAGCAATTTTTTCTCCTCTGAAATACAGTTCAACTGACTCAGTATTTCGAGGATTGTAAATCTTTATATCATTTTCAGGATCTCCTTCATATTCCCTTTGCAAAGCAGATTTCAAACGACTCATTTCGTTCTGCTCACCATGCACCAATACAATGTGTGGAGGTTTCAACTGTCTTATGAAATCACTAGTCTGTTGGTAATCTGTATGTGCTGAAAATGATATATACGCAACTGACATATTTAAACGTAATTTTTGTCCATTTAGTGTCACTATTTCTTCCGGCTCTGAGAGAATAGTCTTAGCCAATGTTCCTTCAACACAATAACCTGCTATAATAACTCCATTTTTAGCATCAGTGCACCACGATTCAAATAATTCTCGTGAAAGGCCACTCTGCATCATACCAGGCGAAGCCATTACTACACACGGTCCTATGTCATCGAATTGATCTATCCCTTTCAAGTTTGATATGTGTGTGAATACAAATGGGTTCTTTACTGCTATTTGCCTTTTTATATTTTCATTCATTGCATTTATATAAGTTTGGTACACTGCCATACACTTTTTGGCTAGAGAGGAAGCATAATATATTGGAATGTCGTGAAGTTCAGGATGTAAACTCCAATATTCATCCAAAATCAACAGCAGTTCTTGAGCTCTTCCTAAAGCAAAAACAGGAATCAAACATCGTCCACCTCTATTTACAATTTCATGCACTAATGTTGTAAACCTTGCTTCTCTTTCTTCTCTCTTTTCATGAATATGGGTTCCATATGTAGCTTCAGTTATTAGAATGTCTGGTTTTACTGATGGTATTTCTGCTGCCATTAAGTGCCTGTCCTCTTGTCTTGAGAAGTCTCCAGTATATAAAATCTTTACTCCGGAAATCTCAATCATAAACATGGCTGCTCCAAGAACATGGCCTGCATTGTATGCCCAAAATTTAATACCTCCTACCTCTTTTTCTTCATGAAAATTTATTGTTTCTATTCTATCCATACTTGCTTCAAGATCACTTTCAGTGTATAACATGTGTTCTGTTGATATATTGCTCACTTTAATATAATCAGAAACAAGCCATCTATAGATAGCTTTAGTTGCATGCGTCATGAAACATCTCCCTTTGAAACTTGTTTTTAACAAAAACCAAGGTAGGGCTCCACAGTGGTCTAAATGGAAATGTGAAACAAGAAGGAGATCTATTTCATCAGTATCCACAATATCTACAAAAGGCAAAGCATCCATTCCATTGAGTCCAGGATGTATCCCACAGTCTAACATTATCTTCTTCCCTTTGTATTCTAACATTATACATGACCTACCCACCTCCTGCCCGGCGCCCAGCGGTGTTATCGACAAAAGATCTGATTCCTCTGCCGGAATTTGTAAATCTTGTTTTCGTTTGGTCATTTTCACCTATATATGAAACACTATTAACAAACAACTTCATAACCTTCCTTGTGGTGAGAAATGATGCGAGAGAGCGCTAGTGTAGCTACCATTGCTGCTCTATCTGTTGGAAATGTCATTAACTTCTTAAGATTTTAGTTTCAATTGTATTTTTTTCTTTTTTATCTAATAGTTCGAATGAGCCATACAAATAATTTAGCATAACATAACATTTTAAAAATTACTCTCAGTTTTAATAAATAATGACTCATAATATGTTGCAAAACAAATAAGGATATTTTTTTATTTTACTTTGTCTTATTGTTGATATTTGATTTTGATAACAAATTACTTGCTCTGTGTGAATAATTTGTATAGAATATTGGTCAGTGAGCAACTAGCAGTATTATATAAAAATAAGTTAATGATATGTATTATGAGAGAGAAGAAATAATTTCATTTTTCTCAGTCAAATCACATTTGCTCATTCAAACTAATAATCCCAAAAATGTGTTCATTAGTATAGAGGCTGTATCTTTGTAAATAATAGTCTGATTTTGATAAACTTTTCTTTTCGGTTTGTAGAGAATTTAGTAAATTTTTAAATAATCATGTGTCTAATAAAAAAAAAATTGTACTTTTTAGTAATTCATAAGTAAAGATTCGTTTCATTCATATTTTTTTTTTTCCTGAAATTTTGGGTGGATGTTACTATGATTCATCACTACTCCAAGTTTGATATCTCATTCAGCAAAATCCATCACTTCTGAGAGCCGGAAAAGAGATCTTTACAGCGAAAAAATGATTCTGTTATATTTTATAAAGATAGATATTTAAATTTTAAAAATAAATATATGTTAAATACTTTTTTAAAAATCGTTTTTATTTATTTTTTTTTTTTTATTTTTAGATGCAGGGTTATTATGCTACTTACAATGATCTACTAAAAGAAAATTTGCCGAAGCTTTGTGAACATCTGAGGTTGTGCAACCTCACACCTGATTTATACCTTCTTGATTGGGTGTATACTGTATTTGCCAAAGCTATGAATATCGATCTGGCTTCGAGAGTCTGGGATGTTTTTCTTCGGGATGGAGATGAGTTTATTTTTCGAACAGCCATAGGTATCTTTTATTTATTTATATTATGAATTTATAATTGTTAAGGTTCTTAACAGTAAGACAACTTGCCCTTTTTTCCTCCAGTCAACTGTCATCAGAAAAGTAATAATTCCTAATAAAATATTTTTAACAATATGATTCAGTTTTATCACTTTAATCTACTGAAATAATAAATTTGGTGAAATTTTTGTATTTATTTATTTTTGCTGGCTCCTGAACCTCCTACTTCTTGATTATTATTATAAATTTATTTTTATAGGTGTGCTAAAGATGTGTGAGGAAACACTAATGACAATGGATTTTGTTAGTGGTTCACAATACCTTACAAGGCTACCTGATCTCTGTCCATTGAAGTTATTTGCAGCTATATCATCTGTGAAAATGTCGGTTGGAAAGCAATCTTTTGCCAATGTACTCCAGTCTTACACCCACAGTGATTAGTAAGGTTTGTTTGATCATTTTTTCATTTTCATCATATTTCATTTTATTTTTATATTCATTGACTGGTCATTTCTTTTCAGCTCATTTTAATTATCTGTTATCAGTTTTGTAACTTTTCAAAACAGTGCTTTTAATAATTCAATATTTTTACACTATATACACTTTTGATAAAACTTAACTTTGAAGCACATATTTTTAAAATGTCACAGAACCTCATTAAGTGTTTTGAAATTATAAACCCTATGATGTATAATACAGTTGTGGTCATAAAAATTGCATCACCTATTTATTGTGATTCTAATGTTAAATCCATTGAATGTTATTGTTTTTCTTTACTTATTAAGATTTCAAGAAAGCTTTAACAATTAATGTTTCTCTGTTCAGTTTTATCTAATGCCAGAATAAAAGCTGTAATTATAACCAGTTTTTAAAAACTGCCCTCATCAGAAAATATTAAATTTGTGACGTTACATGAAGTGAAGGAATTTTCATGGGAAATAGGAACAAGGATAGAATACCACCAATCAATTATAGTCATACTTTTGAAAGGGTAAAAAACAAAAAAAGGCACTGTGGAACGAAAGAAAGGAGCTGAGAGGAGGAAAATAAAAATGAACAACTTGACCACTTAATGGTGCGATTGTTTTTAGAATATCGTTTTAAAACTGGAAAAGAAATCTCCGGAGATCTTGCAGATAGCAATCTGTTAAATAAAATTACATTTTTACTGGACCATGACTGTATGCCTAAAGTACTTACACTAACAGCACAATATTTTGATTTATCTGAGGAAAATTTTATCATATTACATATGTTCAATTTTCTAAAGTGTTACTTAATGACTTAGCGATAAACCAATGATATTTTATGTTAATTAGAACTACTTTAAAGGAAATAATAGTAATTTTTTTTTTGGTTTAGATTTAAATAAAAAAATTAAGTCGATATACTGTCTACTATAATATAATTATCTGAAATTCCATGCCAATGCTATCAACACTACCCAATTACATTATACCCACATACTAAATCCTCTTCTGAATTTCAAATCTATCAGATCAATCCTTCCCGTAGTCATTTATGTAATAGTTAAGCTTCAATTATCTTCAATCACTCTGGTATTCTTGTTTTTCGTTTGCCTCCATAATTTTTAATAGTACTTCAAGCAATAAAATAGATGTGTAATATAATTATTAATATTATTTTTAAAAAATCATATTTTTTAGAGATATAATATGATAAAGTTCTCATTAGGGGTTCTGACAGATATCCATTTCAACCTCCTAATTTTATTATTCCAATTATAGCCCAGTAACATTGTACATTGTAAGTTGTATTGGATGGGGGTAGAAAGTTTCTCTTTTTTTTCTTGTATGAGATATGACTTAGACGCAAAATCCGAGTTTTTGTTCTCGGTCCTCTCCCTCCTCCCCTCCCCCTCCGGAGCACTTTTGAATACCCCAAAAACTGCTATAGTTTTTTTTCCCATCTTATCCATGAAGGAGCACGTTGTTGGCAAAAAAATCCATTCTTAAACATGCGTTTTAAACTAGATTAAATATGCTACGATTTAACATCAGAACAGGCTCAGTAAATCAAATAGTTTACAAGATACAGATTTCCAAACTTTATAAAATTTTATTTTTCATGTTTGATCATATGCAATTGCCTTTTATCTTCAATAATCTGTCTGATATGAGTCAGTGAAGTAAATATTTATTCATTTTAGTATTTTGTAGGAGGGTTGATGGAAGAGGAAAAAGATTTGGTGAATGAGTGTAGTCCATTAGTCATATCCTGCTCCACATAATTATAAATTATATATCATTGTGTTCCTTGTAACTACATATTAAAAAACATCTGGTGTGTCCACTCACACGACTTTCCTACCTATTTCAGAATAGTTTTTATATCTCTACATATGTACACCAAGAAACAAAAAATAAAAAAATTGAACTAGATTTATTTGCCTAAAAATTTATCAAAGAAAAGATTTGAGTACGATTTATTTGATAAACTAAAGCAATGTAAACCGACTTATGATAGATCAGTGTAAAAATTTCAATACTCTCTAATATTGCTGATCAAAAACTGTATGCCATAGCTTAGTATTGTCAAACAATAATTTCTGTTCAAAGTAGAGGAAACAGTGAAGCTTGTACTTTCACTTAGTCATCTTTATTCTCTCATTCACCCCTTTCTGAAACAAGGATGAACCCGTAATCTTACATTGGAAATTGAATAGCTGTAAAGACATTTATCGTTGTCCAAAATGAACAATTTTTTTTATAGTTTTGTAGGAAATTTCATTACCTTTCAAAAAACTAGGCTAAACGGCGTTTTTCGGACTCACTGGGCTCTGAAACGTACAGATCTGTTGAAAACCGGATATCGGAAATTTGATCCGATTGCAATACTTTCCTTACCTAGTATTGCACATGGAGCCCTGAATTTCTGTCACAGGCATCAGTAGTCAAAATCCTACAAAATCAAAAAAGAAGCAACAAAATCAGTTCAGTTGTTCCCGAGAAAATCTTGGCACAGACAAGCAGACCAAATTTCTAAAAATGTGTTTTTCAGACTCAGGGGGCTCTGAAACGTATAGATCCATCAAAAACCGCATATCGGAAATTTGACCCGATTGCAATAGGGAGGAAAGTAATAAAGGCAATGTGGCCACACTGTCCCAAAATGGCGTCCAAATAAGGCTGAGTTACGCCTTTGATTTAAGTTATTTTTTCGGTCACTGAGATTAGCCATTGGCTTAATTTTGTCATAATTGGTCTTTAATTAAAGCTGGATAGTCATGGTATAATAAAGCATTAAAAAATAATAATAATAAATGGCTTTGGCAATAATAAATACTCGTAAAGTCAATTTTTAAGTCATTCAAACTCAAGTTGAAAATCAAGCCTCATTTGTTATTAAACGGTCAACAATAAACGTCCTAAAATAAAACTTCTAGAGAATACGTTTATCTTTCTGAATCACTAATTAATTTGAAACAGTTCTTTGGAAATTTCACTTAATTGGCATAACAGCGGCACTGGCGTAGGCACCTTCCAAAAATATTGAACACAATAAACGACTTAGATCAGTATAGCTCACTATTATTTTATCAATGATTTATAGCCATTCCTATATCCATTCATCCTACTCCTTCAAAATAATAATTTAAATCAACTTTTACTTCACTAACTATTATAAGTCAGGTTATTGAAGAGATAAACATGAAATTAGCTTAACATTTCAAGTTTTGAAAATTGGTCTTAAATTGTAGTATATTTAATCTAGTTTAAAACGGTATAGAATGTTTTTTGCCATAAATGTGTTCTTTCATGGTTGAAATGGGGGGAAACTGAAAATAGTGTGCAAATATAGCAGTTTTTGTTGTTTTAAAAAGTGATCCGGGAGAGGGAAGTGGGTGCCGAAGTCAAAAACTTAGATTTTGCATTTCTGTCACATCCCATACAAAAATAAAAAGAAACCTTCTGGATCCCATTCGATGCAACTTAGTCTTCCCTTTTCATGACAAGGCTACTGTGCTATTATATTTACAGAGTTTAAGTTACTTCATTCTACTTTGTGGAACTTCCTGAATTCTCCAGTTTTTTTTCTAATATTTTATACCATTGCTCATTTTTGTTAATCCACAGATATTTTTATTTTTTTTTCATGAATTTGTTTATGATATCTTTGTTAATAGTAGTGTTTTTTCAGTTATGACAATTATAGCATGTTTCTATAATGTTTTTTCAGATGAGAGGGAAGCCTGTACCATCTGCTACATCTTTAAATTTTAGACAATGCCATTAATGTTTCCTTAACTATTTCATTACCGCTTGATTATTATTTCAAGTATTTATTTATATACCTCCATCCCCTTGCAATAACATTTTAGTTGTATTTATTGTGCAATTCAATATTATTTGTATTAAAAAAGAACAAAAAAACTTTTTTAGTTATTGGGTATAAAACCAACTGCAGCCGTCCTGAAAAATATAGAAAAAAATATTCCTATCATTTTATATATTAACTAAAGTTACTACTTTCTTATATTGTATTGTTATAATTATTAAATTTATTGAGATTCATAAGTATTGAATTCTTATATATTTTTACTGTTAAATTTTTATCGTACATTATAATTTTGAATTTTAAAATTATTCTTTAATTGCTAGAGTAGCAATTAAAATCCCATACGTTCTCCAAATAACTTAAATTTGGATTTGTGCCATTTAAAAGAACGTCCTTAAGAATTGTGGCCTTATTTGTAATTTACCCACTACTCCATGCATATTATTTTATTTTGTGATACTAGTATGTTATCCCCACTGACATTGATTGAAATGATCAGTTCTTTTAAATTGATGTGTTATAAAGTTTATATTATTTGTAATGTGATATTTTATTTAATATTTTAAATGAATTTGGAAATCTTTTCACCACATACTGGAACCTAATACTTAATAAATTTTTCACTCTTTGTCAGGAATTTTAAACTGTCAGGGTGCAGCTGATGATTAAATTATTATATCAGCATATAAGATCTGTTTAAGTTAAGTACCTGAATCAAATTACCACTGATTTCATCTCAAAAGTTTTACTTCGATAAATAAGTGGTAAATGATTAGAATTATTTTAAGTGATTGCCTATTATTATTAATATATTCTTTATATTAAATATCTTTACAGAAAAATAGCTACTGACAAACCATTTATGTCCAAGTAGCCTTGAATATGACCGATGCAAGGCCACCTAAATATTAGTGAAGTTCACAACTTTATTAAAGCATTCTTAATGTTAAACTAATTAAAAATTAATGTTAATGCACACAATATTTCTGGAAGCTGAAAAATATTTAGGTTATTAATGCCATAAAAAAAAAATAATAATTATTTAAATTTTACAATAGGTCATTATCAATAAGTCAGTGGTTTACTAAATATCTCCTCTATGAGATTGTCAATAAATTTTAAATATTCAGATGTACTTTCTTAAAAAATAAAATAAATTCTTATATGCTATATACTAGCATATACTAATGGATTTTCTTTTTCATTAATTAAAAGGTTTGCCTTCATAGAAAGTAAAGAGGGAATAGTTTTAATTACTGTTATTGTTCAGATTTGTTATTTATTTATTTTTCATAATAATAATAATATGCAATTACTTCTATTTTTGACAAATGATTACGATATTTTTCATATAGGCCTATATAGATAATTAATCTCTAATTATATATATTTCTGATTATTTTTGTTATATAGATTGTATTTATTTAGTTTAGTCTAGGATTAAGGGTTCTGGAGTTCGATTCCCCCAATTATATATCAACTTTTACACCTGTTTTCCCACCATAATTATTTGTTGAAATATGTACAAACGGCCTTTCGAAACATCATATTAGATCTCATTTATAACAGACCTATAGTTTCTTTTATTCTTTTATAAATTATTTGGTAAAATTTTGATAGATTGTTTGTCACATGTAGGTTCATAATAATTAGGACCGAGCAAAATTTTAAATTATTTTCTAAAAGCGCCTATAGTACAAAAATTTCAAAGAAATTAGTAATTGTGCTCTATATGACAATGGAAATTAATTCTCTTTTATCGCTTGTTGAGTTTCTTCAAATGTAGGAAAACATATATTAGTGTGAATATTTCATCTTTTTTTTTTTCTCTTAAATAATAAAATTGTAATATATTATAATTTTACATATTAAGAGCTGTGAATTTTATGATTTACAACAATGTCAAAAGTTGCATTAAAACGGATCAAACGAATTATCTGAATATTCATAAGAATTCGGGGATTTCCTCAATGAGTACATTAATTTGTTATTAGAGTAAATCATTAATGTATTTTTTTCTCTTGGGGTTCCTGGTAATATATGTATATACATATATATATTTGTATTGTATCATGTCATTAAAACTGTACATAATCTCTAAGAAAGTTGAACAAGTTTCTACACTTTTAGGTGTATTCGGAAATGTTATGAGAACAAAATGACAATGCATAAATTTATTTTAATTTTTTTAATAAGTGTAATATTTTGCTCAATATTTCTTAAAGTAAACTTTTAAGTTAATGTATCATTATTATTATTATTATTATGAAATAGATCAATCATCTGTGCCATAAAGATTGAGGGTACAGAAAAATTGTTTAGAATGAATGATATGTAATTATATTCCTTTAGTTAAGATTTAAAAAATCCTATTGTTCATATGTGTATATTGTAATGTCTTATAAATTTTTAAAAACAATTTTTACAGTTTTATGAATTCACATGTTTATATATATATATATATATACATACATATATATATTTGGTTGTTACAAAAGTGATATTGTAAATTATAAGATTATGATGCATTTACATTAAATGTCACCAATAATTGTTGTTTGTAATCAAAATATAAGTCATATCTTAAATTAATTACTGTTGCTGTTTTCTTAACACCCATCATCTAACAAGGGAAGTTAAGCATGTGGGTTCATCAATTTGATGATATTTAATAGAGATATTAAATACATTATAGACAATTGGATCACAATAAATATTGTATAGGGGTAAACAAAGTTGATATTCATTTTTCCCATCTAGAAAAAATCTTAAATAATTATTTTCATTGCAATCGAAAAAAAAAAAATTCTCAATACTTTGACATCTATTTAATATGTATTTATACTGTGTATAATATGCACATTAAAAGATTTTTTTTTTGGAACATATCTGGATAACAAACATACCAGGTTTTGTGTATGTAATCTTTCTATGAATTCCTGTCTAGTTTAGACAAAAAAAAAAATTTTTTAGCATACAGCAATAGTATGAGTACAATATTTAACAGCTACAGGGCCAAAATGGGTTCAAATTTTGATTTTAGGAGAAACAAAATTAAGATTTGTACTTCGGATCTTGAAAAACCATTATATTTTCAGAGCGATTGAAAAATAAATAAACAATTTTTTATGAGTTTATAGGACACTAATAGCGAATCTAAATTATTTTTTCATGACAATGGTTTACTTTACCTGCTTTAGTGGTAGGTATTCTATTTTTTACTTCTTGACATAGCCATCTAGAGGTAAGAACAAGGAATAAGTGGTAGCTTATTTTGGTCTTTGTAATTTATTATACATTTGAATTCATTTAATACAATTAGCAAAATGTTTTTTCTTATTTTACTCAAAAATACAAAGTCATTGTTATATTTTAACCTAGATATTCATGATAGCAAATAATGCTATATAAATAAATGTTTAATTTTTATTTTCTCGGCTCCTAGTGTACATTAACAAAAACCCTCAGGCATGGGTTTAATATTTTATACTTTATATATTTTTTAAGTATCACAAAAAAAAGATTCATTGAAATCAGTGAACCCCACATCCATAACCTTCCCTTGTACGTAGAAGCTCTCAAAAAAATAAAAACAAACCTTAAATATGCTTTCCAGGTCAACAAAAAATAATAAAGAAAAGAAAAAATATTCTAAAGAAGATAAAAAGATAATTGAAAGATAAATTTTTTAACTTCTACTGATCTCTTATAGTTATGAAGACATCGAAATACTAATTTGATTCCTGCTGTATTTTTCTCCTACTGATATGTAAGTATTTATATAATAAATTCAATGTGTGAAGTTTCAATTTTATTCATAAATTTTAAATTGCCTATGTATAACTAGGCTTTATACATCTCCGAGCTCTTCTTCTTCTTCTTTATCTTCCTCTTCGTGCCATAACTAGCGTAGAGTAGCCTCAATCCAATGCAGCCATGCCTCTCGGTCCCTACTAAGCCGCCTCATTTCCTGGAGGGTTTTGCCTCTCTTCTCTCCAATCCACTGTATATATTCCTGATAGGAAATTCTGGGGCGGCCCCTCGGCCTCCTCCCAGTGGGTCGAGCTTCCAGAATCTTCCGCGGATCTCTCTCCTCCTCCATCCGACAAACGTGGCCAAACCACTTCAACTGTCGGTTTTCCAGTAAAGTCCTTAGCTCCGCCACCTCCAGGTCCTCTCTTATGCGTTCATTTCTGAGGCGGTCTCTCCTGGTCTTTCCAGCAGCTCTCCGCAGAAACTTCATCTCGGCTGCTGTCACACGGCTAACCTGCTTGTCCAGCATAATCCAGCTTTCGCTTCCATACGTGAGGGTTGGGAGGTATACCGACTTGTATATGTGCCTTTTTGTTTCCTTGCCAACTTCCCTGTGCCCTACTATAGTGTTAATGATAGGGTAATATACCTGATTGACTTTGGATATCCTATTCGCTACTTCTGGGTCAATCTTCCCCTTGTTGCTGATAGTTGTACCCAAATAGATGAATTCTTGCACAACTTCAAGTACCTGCTCGTTACAGATCAGCTGGACGTCTTCTTGTTCCTCTCTTGATATGACTAGGACTTTGCTTTTGGAGCTATTGATAATCATACCTTTGCGGAGGAGTTCTTCCTGCCATTCTACAAGGGCCTGCTGCAACCTGTCTTTCGTGTCTGCAATCAGAACGATGTCATCGGCACACAGTAGGCTTTGGACCATAATATTCCGCAGGTTCCATTTTCCGACTACCGTCCAAGCAGTACGACGCTTACAAATTTTATGTATTTCATCCATAAATATGATGAACAAGAGGGGACTTAGGCTGTCTCCCTGCCTGACTCCTCTCTCCATGGGAAAAGGCTTGAACTCTCTACCATTAATCCTTACCATTCCTTTTGCTGATCTAATTGCCATGATAAGATCACCTGGATCATTTTTTGCCGCCAAAGCATCCCATATTTCTTGCCTTGGAACAGAGTAAAATGCTGTTTTGAGGTCCAGAAATGCCATATATATATTCTTGTCTCTGTCCCATGCTTTCTCTGCGATGCCTCTTAGCACAAAAATGTGATCTTGAGTCTGCCTCCTCGGACGAAAGCCTGCTTGTTCGTTCTCAATTTAGTTCTCAACTACGAGCCTTAATTTTCTTTCTAAGATTGAGGAGTATAATTTGTAAGCCACTGAAATTAAGCTTATTGGCCTATAGTTTTCACAATCTGTGTAGCTGCTCTTTTTATGAATAGGGACAATTACACTTAATTCCCAATCCCTTGGGACTATCTTTGTATCCCATACTTTTTGGAGAAATTGTTGGAGAAATTTAATTCCTGTCCTCCAAATTTTATTAATTCGGGGGCTATGTCATCCCTTCTCGCTGCTTTACATATTTTAATTTTTTGGATGTCATATTCTATATCGTCTTCCTCAATGACTTCTAGACTTTCCAGAGTATTATTTTCTACCAGATGTTCATCTGGATCAGTGTGTCCTCCTCCTGAGAAGTGTCCCTGATAGAACTCCTTCCACTGTTCAAGAATTTTCATTTCTTCGGTGACCATGTTGTCACTAGAGTCTTTGACATTTCTCACTGGCTTACTTATTTTTCCTCTTAATAGCTTTACTTTAAGCCAGAACTTTTTAATACTTTCCCGGTGATCTTCATCGAGACTTTTTCCAAATCTTTCCCATGACTCTCTTTTCGCTTGCCAGACTGCTATTTTGCATTGATTTCTGGCTTGGTGGTATTCGTCTAGTTTTCCGGTTGTTTTCTCTTGAAGATAAGCTTTCCACGCTTTCTTCTTTGATTGAACTAAACTTCGTACTTCCTCATTCCACCACTCTGTGCGCTTTTGTTTATTAGATATTTTACGCAAGCCGCAAACTTCCCTTGCAGTTTCTAAGATGCATGATTTTAAGCAGCTCCACTGTTGTTCTACATCACCCTCTCTGCTCATGGTTCTTAATTTATCTTTCAGTTTTTCGGTATAGGAGGTTCTCTTTTCTGGATCGTCTATAGCTCTTATGTTGATTGCCTGGTAGCTCTTTTGTTTAATTGGCCGTTTATGAGGAATTTTGGTATCGGCTTTTAGCAGCAGATGATCGCTGCCAATTTCAGCGCCTCTTATGACTTTTATATCGGAAAAATAGTTTCTTATGGCACGGTCGTATACGAAATAGTCTATAATACTGTTTCTTTCCAGGCTCGAGAAAGTTATTTTGTGTATTATTCTGTGGGGAAAGAAGGAATTTCCCACCAGTAAATCATTGTCTATGCAGAAGTCAATAAGGCGTTGTCCATTTCCATTTCTTACAGTTTCCTCTCCATGGAGTCCGAGGGCACCATAAGTGAGAGAAGGATCACAACCTGTTCTGCATTGAAATCTCCACTCAGTATTGCGAATCGTTCTTTCAACTTTATTTTGTTGAGCAGTCCTTGCAAGTCAGAATAGAATGCTTCCTTATCCATGATTCCTGCATCCTCTGTTGGGGCGTATACCTGCACTAAAGTAACTTTCCCAATGGCCAACACAAAATTTGCAGCAATTATTCTTGGTGAGATAGGCTCCCAGTCTTCCATTTGTTTATATACTGTTGGAGTCATAATTATACCTACCCCTTCCTTTGCGAAGTTTCCTTGAGTAACTCCAGCATATATAAGGGCGTAATCACTGTCCAGTTTTATTTCACCGACTCCTTTCTTCTTTACCTTACTGATCCCAAGTATGTCCACCTTATATGTCTTCATCTCTTCCACAAGCTCAACCTCTTTTCCTGTCATTGTCTTTATATTCCAATTTCCGAATTGTAAATCCCTATGATCACCAGGTCGTTTCCGTAAGATCTGTCCGCATCCGAGGCTGGTTTTGTGACTTTGAATAAATTATCCTACCATGCGGGTTATTAGCCCAGCGATGGAGGCTCCGTATCCTCGGGACAACTGGTCTCCTGAATATTTGTGTCCCCTCAGGAGAAAGGGTGGCTGGGCTATACCCCCTAGCACTGGGTACCTGTTGGTCCACGGGTCTTTATTCTGTATATTCAGACCGACCCTCCTAAGAGGGATCCCCCATCCGCCACCCGTGGGACGCGCTCCCTAGTGGACAGGTTCCACCAAGCTCCTTCTATTTAAATCTTCTGTCCACTCCCGCAATACCCGTTCCCGGTCTTCAGATTTATATATAATAGCCTAACGAACCGTTGCTTTCAATAAATCTTTTATTATTATTCGATCCTCATATCTATGGAACTCTATCCCTCTTGACATCCATCGTTCCAATACTCTCCCTACTTTTAAATCCCGCCTATTCAATTACTTCCTTTCCATCCAGTCTCTATAAAATTGTAAATAGCAATTTCTGTAAATATTTATATATATTATTACTTATTTATTTATATATTCCACCCTCCCATGCCACTATGGCAATTCGGGTGTTTGCAATAGTTGGTTATTAGGCAAGAATGCTTAATAACACACTACTACTTGTTAACATGTAGTTCTGTTCTTTCTTCTTCTTGTTTCGGCCTAGCTTCCGAAATCTGGAGGTCTTCCTGGCGCTTGTCCTCTTCTTCTGCGGGCACCAATATGGAAGTCAGTGGGCCCTACCGCCATTTATGAAATCCTTAAACCGTGGGAAATTTTCTTCGCTGGCTAACTGAGGAAACTCATTTTCTGTGAGGACGTAGATTCCTGCGGCTCTTGTCATTATCGCTCTTAACGTTTCAAATGCTGTGCAGGTCGTGACCAAGTGCTCTACAGTTTCCGGAACACTACAAATTGGGCATAGAGGATTTACATCAATGCCCAGTGAGGAACTGGGAAATCCAGTAGTCCAGGAGAACCCACTTTGGCTGAAGCCTCAACTGTACTGTGGGAAAGTACTTCCTTTAGGTACCATACGGTTCCATACTTCAATTGTATCCTCCCGGAGTGTCTTCTTCCATCTATTAGTCGCTTCCATAATCCTCACCTGTAGATTGTCCGAAAGTACTATAGAGCCTTCCAGAAAGAATATTTTGTCACTTCTTCTACTAGGAGGAGGTGGAGAGGCACCACCCCCGCTAGGGCCTGCACCACTTCATGCGAAGTTGTCCTGTATGCTGTGGTGACCAGAAGCAGAGCTGTCCTCCGAGTATATATATTATTAGTTTATTTTCATTTCACTGTTCTTTCATTTATTTATTTTTCTTCTTAATCGATTTAAGTTAGAAGATAACTTTTTTTTTTCCATTATACCTATTAGTTTACTTTGTAAATACAATTACCTATCTGAGGCTCAAAAGATTATTATTATTATTAACTGTCAAATAATTTCAGAATTTTATATATTCAATTATTTTAACTTTAAATAAGTAATATATATGCAATATATAGTAACGGAAAGTATTGCTATTCTGAAAATTTTCGAATGGAGTTTTCAACGGAAATACAACGGAGTCCAAATAACCAAGTCTCCTAAAACGGTCCGTGTAGTCCGGTATACAGTTTATCTCAAACCGAAAAGTAGTAAGAAATTGAAATTACGCGTTTAACGTTAGTAAATAGACTGGATGTAACAGCAACTTTTTTAAACTTACCAGTAGTGCTACTTTATATCGTCCATTTTACACATTTCTACAATTTTATCGAAAACGGCTCTCACGATTTTGATAAAATTCATTTTGTTCGTGTAAAATTAAGCTATTTGAAATATAATGTAGGTACATATATATATATATATATATATATATATATATATATATATATATATATATATATATATATTAAGTTAAAAGAGTTTAATTAAAATCGTCAGAGCTCTTGATAAAATCGTAAAAATGTATTAAATCGAATATATAAAGTATCACTTCCGGTTTGCCGATTTTGACGAAACTGTTGCTGTAACATCCAAGGATTATAAAAACCTCAAATACGTTTCCTACCGCTCTTCATTTTTGAGCTACGTTGTTCACATACATACACAGACACGGACCATTTTGCGGGACTTATTTGCACTCATGGGACCTCAAAACATGTATTCTCGTTGAAAACTCAGATTCGAAATACTTATTCCTAAGACATATTACTATATACTACATATTAAAATGTAGTAAGTGAAAGTTGTGTGATTATCAGATTTTACTTAAAGGTTTGATGCAGTAGGATGAACTCTAAATTGTTGGATGCTTCAAATTTTCCGCGGAAAATTTGATAAAATCTTCACGTAAAAATGGAAGGGTGCAGATGAGGACGCCAAATGTCTAAGACCGGTAAGGCCGGCTCTTATGACCAGGATCAGAACGACGATGTTATGAGCAGAAGGTTCAGATCCGTGGACCTTTGGAAATTCTTTCCGAATGAAATGACTGCAAAAAAAAAATGTTCCGCGCTCTCATCTACAGATTTGCACTGAGGACTCTTTGTAGTATCTGCCAGCTTAATCTGTAGCGGTGGACTTGAAAGCAACCCTTTTTACCTATTATCTATTACTTCGCCATTCCTGGCATACAAGGGGGAGATTTCTAAAAGTACGTCCAAATTTATTCTTACCAGAGTGGAAAGGTCTAGAATCATTCTCTGACTTTGACCCGCCCAGGCAGGATTCGAACCGGCGTCGTTAGACGAGAATATTAAAGTTTACGCTATAAGACTCGATCATCACTACCTCGAAGTGTTGAAGCTGCCCAGTAAACGCATCTGTTGTTTGCCTGCTTTCTTTCTTCAGCCCTTGGAATGCACTCGACTTTATTATATGAGGGCATCCTATCTTCTGCGATTATTGGCAGTAAAGGTGATACTCTGGCCACCATACATTCCGCTTCGTATGAAACTATGTGAAATACGCTGATCACCATGAGACATTCGACAATAGATGGTAACTAATTATCTTGGATCATAACCATTGGTATTCTTCAACCATATCGAGGATTCCTTTTCGTATCGCGGCTGCTTAGAGCAGAATGGGTATCACGACCTGCGGCTATGCCCATGTCCTTCTACATTTTGCATCAATGAGGACATTAATGTAACTACGATGGCGCATTTGCTCCAGATGCCGGCTCAAAAGAGGCACTACGTCACAAGATAGAACAAAAAAAAAAAAAAAAAATTAAGTCTGTACCTAAAAATGAATACAGTTTACAATTATTAACATTTCAAAATCACAAGACAGGAACACAATAGAGATGAGCGTCTCTATAATTTTAAAAAACAACAGTTCAATTATTGAGGGGGGAAAACTGTTTTAAACCGGAAAAACATACAAATGCCGAGTCAAATATTATCGATTTATCCAGATAAGACTTGAGACTGGAGTCGATAGTAGAAATAAAATCGATAAGAGACGGACTATCCAGCGGGTCCAGTGAGTGGGGGACCAGCCAGCAACAGATTGAAAACATGCAGCCACTATACCGCTTCGCCCAACTAACTCTCTTCGCTATTTTCGGTAAGAGTTAATGTAGAATTTATTTCAACAATAATATATTTTTTTCATTGTACAATAATCGGAAAACTGACAATTTTTCAACTTTCTTGAAGAGAGGAACTAGTTTACAACATTTTTTGGACGTGTGTAAACGGGAATTTTGAAAAGTATGATTTTACTATTCTCTTATAAAAATTGACCATTTTTAACCTTATGTTTTTTAGTATTATTAATCGGTACATTTCTTCGTTAATGAAGAAGTTTCAATGAAGTCATTGAGATTTAAATTTTTTTTTTATAATATGTATGTTTTTGTACAAAAAATAGTTTTATGAACTGACTCTGCAACACTAATTTATCTAAATCAGAGTTTCTGCTCGGTTTCAAAACAATTAATTTATTGGGAGTATATTTTAAAAAATCTTATCTGGAAGTTGCCGATAGAAGTAGGTAAAAGTAGCCTACAGCCTACAGTCTTGAGATATTGTTATCTTCTTCGATAGCGGAAGAAACTAGCATTTCCAGTTGGAGCTACACGAATGTGAGTTTTGAATGTTCACAGTGGGCTGTTCATGCAGACCACCGATAAATTTTATTGTCGAGTTCCCTTCCACACACTAGAAATTGTTTAGAAAGGTTTTTTCGATAAGTTTGCTTGTAAATAATTTAGTAAGTCAGTCATATTCATTTCGATTAAAAACAGAAATTTCGTTTGGATATCTGATCCACTAGCGCGTTCATTCAACTTAAATGGTTCGTTACAGCTCGTTTCTTTATTCTGATTAGACTGGCAATATCAAGTTTCATTTCGTGATGCTACCACTTAATGTATTTCAACTGAATCAAATGGCTATGTAATCCACTGTTTCAAACCAAACATTTTGAGGACCCATTCGCCTTAACAAGCTCGCTCTACATGGTTTAAGTAGGACTATAAAGTCTATTATATTATCAGTATATTACCTAAAATTTGGCTGCCTTTCTATTTCACATCAAATTTTCTCCTTGGTTTAGAAATTTTTTTTATTCAATACAGCATAGATTTTTGTTGTTCGAAATAAAGTGTGATAGAAATCCAGAAATGTTCTCTAGTTCGTTCTTTGGAATATAACTACCTATCGTACACCACCTGACATAATTAATTTAACTATATTTTGATATTTAATAATAAATGGATTGAGTTTGATCTCGGTTACATTCAAGTTGATCTCAGTTACAAGTCAATCAGATGTGATCTCTAAGTCTAAGAAAAATCTAATTTAATATGAAAATAGTCGTGTGAATTTACATTTTAGATATTTATTAAGAAATTTTCAATTAAGAAGATAAACTGATACATTATTACATTAATTTAATTTAACAATTTTTGTATTTATTTAGCAAACATTTGTATAAGTCAGTTGCAACGATAACTTAGTTAATAATCAACTTGATTATTTTTCTTCAACTTTTTAAAATATTTTATTGCTAAATATAAAATACTAACGTTTATAAATTAGATATTAATGATCAGGTTATTGAAGTATTCAGATTAGCTTTAGTTCCAAAATAAAATATAAAAAATCATCAGAGATTAAATAATTAATAAATAGATAATTTGTTGATTGATACGATATTTGTTTTTTTATTAAACACAAAATTCAGAAGTGGTTGCATTCTGCATTTCAATAAAGTGTAATTTTTCTTTCCCTGATTCTGTATAATATAATATTTTTTATGTACTTAAACTTAATAACATTTCTTTCTGATAATAAATACTGAAAAATAAATATTACAGATAAATGGTTCAAATAAAAAAATAAACAATTTAAATATTATCGTTATTATTCATTTTTAAAACTTAATTTTATGTTTAAAAAAAAACCAATGTATAGGACATTTAATTCATAAAATTCGTCTTTAGGGAGGTGCATGGAACAAAATAAAAGTAATGAATAAAATAAAAACAAAAACAAAGCTGTGTATTTTATTAATTTTAAATACAAATAATAACAATTTAAAAAAAATGATATTACGTTTATTATATACAATATTACTATTAGTATAATTATTAAACTTTTTCATCGGGTTATTATTCTTTCACGTTTTCATTTAAAAGAAATGAGTTTCAAAATAAAAATGAAATTTTTACATCTTCAGGAAAAAAATCTTGTATTGTTAAGGTTAAAAATATGGAATGTATAATATAAAAATATTCCAAAAATTAAAATTTATTTTTATTTAATAATTGGACGCCCCCTCTATATTGACCAGTGATTTAATTGTAGCTGTCATCTATTAGAGACACAGTACAGGAGTAATTTTTTCAGACTATTCGATATAAAAGTGCTTTCTACTTATATTTTAAATAACCAAATTGTAGTGCATGGGTGTACGCAGAGAATGGTAGAGGGGATAGAACCATTGTCCTCCCCTAAAGAATTTTAAATAAAATAAAACACAATATAACACATAATGTTTGCCAACAATTCGAGATAATTAATAATGAACAGTTGCATTGGATTGGCAAATAAGTCCTTTCGGTTTTTCAGCGTGAAATAAAACTCAATGTATTATAGGCATAAAATTTATTTTAAGCTACAATATATTAACTTTGTCATTATTTAATACTTATTTTCCCCATCTTTCCACTATCTCCATATTCATAGAATGTCTGGAGTTTATTGTTAAAAAACCGATCCAAGTGGTTTTTAATGTCCTCTTCCTTTTGGATTTTTTAACCATTCATGGAGTTCTGCAGAGATCAGAATATGTGGTAGTCACTTGGAGCTAGGTCTGGTGAATAGGGAGTGCGGGGCGAAAGTCCCATCCAAGGCTCAATCAATTATTGAGAGCGACCAATGAGGTGTGGTGCCTAGTATTGTCTTGGTGGAACACAACACCCTTCCGATTAGTCAGTTCTGGGCGTTTGTTTTTAATTGACTGATCCAATTTTGTTAATTGTAAGCAGTATTGAGTTTAATCAACTTTTTGTCGTTATAGCAATAGCTCATAGAAAATATATTTGAATTTAAAATATTCCTTGAAATTCCACCATATGGAAAGCATGATCTTCTTTGGATGCAATCCGGGTTTTCACATTCTTCTAGGAGCCCTATTACATTATATTTTCGTAAAATATCCATTTTTCATCTCATGTTACCAACCTTCTCAAAAATGGGTCGTTTTGTTGCTGTTTCTAAAGTGAATCACAAACAAAATGCGTGTTTCCAAGTTGACTTCAGTTAGAGAGTGAGGGACCCAAACATTAAATCTGGAAACACAGCTGAGCTTGTGCAAAATGGTTTTCTACGCTTGTTTGCGACATATTTAGGGACTTAGCAATATCTCACACTGATTGGGTGGGATTCTGATCAACAATGACCTTAACATTACTCGTTTCAATTTCATGTGGGCGATCAGACCGTTAAGCATCATTGGTGTCAAAATTTCCTGAATGAAATTTGGCAAACCAATTTTGACAGGTGCGTTAAGCAATCATCCTCATAAACACTGCAAATTTTTCTGAGTTGCAGCACGCTTACATTTCTTAAATCATTACTACAAAATATGCCGATAATGAATGATATTTTCTTCCATATTCACAGTGCAATAGCAAACACAATTCTAAGCTAGTTTCAACAAGAGTTAACATAGTTGTTGACATATTATAAACAGGATAAACAATCCAACTTTGGGATTAATTCATCAGGTAAGAAGCTTATCAAAATGAACAGAAAAACGAAAGAACTTATTTGCCAACCCAATAGTTCTATGTATGAATTGCATTTGATATAAAAATATTTATAAATTATAATAATAATAAACGTTTCCGAAAAAAAAAATTCTGTCTGGCTCTCCGATAAGATAAAAAGATGTTGTAGTGTGAGATGTGAAATCAAGAACACAGTGCTACTATGTATGGGAATCGTGTTGGCACTTCGTTGTTCGGCAAATAATGGCTTAAACTTAGACTTATTTTGTTAAAGTTTTAGCCATTCTTCCTTCGTTGTATCTCCTTTCCTTGGTCATCAACGGTATAGTAGTGTGGGATAAACACAAGTACGGGAACTTGGGTCACCAGCCATCAATCGAATTACCGATAGGAAATCTCCTCCTTGCTAGACCTCTTAGGTCGTAAGCGTGGGGGTTGAATAGCTGTTATCATTATCAACGGAAAGGCTTATCTTTGAAACTGGCAGGCTTGTGGGGTGTATCACGACATCACTTCTGCTTGGACAACAAAAAATTATGAACGCATTTCTTGTTATTAGAAAGAATTTAATCTTATCGAAATAAAATTTAAAAAAAGTAAATTGCCAAAACCTATCTCTTTCAAAAAGCTTGTTATAATGCCGAAATACACGGTAATTCAGTTCTTAAAGACCAAACTTCTGATTTTAGACAAAATTTCCAACAAAAATGTATAGTTGGTGAATTGCTCATTTCCGAACAGAAAAATAGTTCGATTCAATTTTGTGTTTTCTTAATAAGGTGGTCACAGTTACTCTTTCATAGGGAGCAATGACACAAAAATTATTTAATTTAGGTAATTAAAAATTGCTTTATAGTAAACTTGCCAAAATTGCTTCCAAATACAAGTTGAGGAAAACCATTTAAAGAGGACTTTGGAGCTGCCAAGCTACGCTAAGTTGTTTATCACTCTACAACTGCTTTAAAGATAGACCACTTTTATAAAAACTTCTTTTCTTAATAAGCTTTAATTGCATATCAGTTTGGTTGAGGTTTGTTGGAGAATGGAGTTGAAACTCACCACTTATGCTATCTTAAAATTATAACAAGAATATGTTTGTAGAATTTAGAGGTAGTAAATGTTGTAAGTATATTAAGAATCTTGAAGAGGTAGTATGTGTGTTATCTTCATATTCGGTATTATGATTACACTTTTCTTCAAGGCCGATCAGAGGAGATTAAGAGGACATTCTGGGATCGTGCTCCGAAGGAAACATGGCGTAGACTCCAACGTTTTATTTTTTAACTTCTAAATTTACAATGCATTGACAAGAAATACAAAAAACATTACATTGAAGCATTCGAAACCGAGCGTATTAGAGCGTTGCTCTAGTTAAAATTCTTCAGCGGTTCGATTCCGGCATGGGCAGGTTAAAATTTATTTTGTGATACACAGGAAATTTATCTCGACCTTCCCACTGTTGTTCAGTTGTACCTCTAGATCAACTCTCCGTTCTTTGCTAGAAGTGACGAGATATTAAACGGTAAAAAATTAATAAACAAAAATAATGTTATATATGAGTGGGCTCATATTTGACGAACATCTGTCATTTTTAAAAAGTTTAGAAATTTTTTTTTCTATTACAGGTATAGGCGTCAACAGGTATATAACATCAATTTAAATAAATTTTAATGGTGGTTTTTTTTTTTTTTAATGATTCAACATTCTGAAATAAAATCAACAGAAACAGGGTGAGTTGACCAATAAAATAAAAATTGACTTTTTAACCAATTTTTGAAAATGACAGATGTCCGTTTTTGACATAGAGCCACACTCATACATCATACTAAATTTATTTATTACCATTATGTAATATTTATGTTGTATATTTTATGAAAGGCTCCCGTTGGGGTTTAATGGTATTTTTAAAAAATAATTTAGGATCCACAGGTGGATCTACGGAGGAGGGGGTTTTCGGTCTGATATCCCTCCAAAATGGTAAAATATAACCACGTCTTATGAAAATAATTTTCTTTAAAAGTATTACTTGTTAAGTTCTACGTGTAATTACATTTAATAGGACTTCAAAAATCACTTAAACATCATATAGATAGTTATTTACTTTCTTTTTCTTTTAAAGTAATTATCGTATGTGTATATATATATATATATATATATATATATAAAGCTTTCGGGTTGGAGCCCCGCTCCCAAAAATTAGATCCTAGATGCGTTAGTAATGTCCGAGAAAATTAACCTATGGTTACTCTACACGATCCTACTTCTATACTTTACTAAAGGTAGTATTTATAGCAAGTGAGTATTGCTTTAAATTTCAGTAAGTTCACAAGAAAATGTTTTATCACTTGTTAACTAAAAGGACTACGGTGTTATCTGGGATATCTTTCAAATTATTTTTTTAACAAAAAAAATCTGAAGTTTTTAATCTGAAGGAGCCCAAACTTTGTCTATTTAATTAGGTACTAAAACCTCGTAAATACCCATTTGCTTTCTACTTGGATCTTAAGATAATTTGATCACGAAATCGATAAAAAATGTGACGTACAAAAATATTGGGCCATTTGTCCAATATAATCTCGTTATTTTGAAATTTTGCGGGTATAGGTATTGAGGGATAGGTATTTGCGGGTATTGAGCCAAACGGCTCAATATTTTTTAAGGCTACCTTTTTTCTCGATTTTGTGACCAAATTATCTTACGATCCAAGTAGTAAGCAAATGGGTATTTACGAGTTTTTAGTACCTAATTAAATAGACAAAGTTTGCTCCCCTCCAGATTGAAAACGTCCCAATTCCAAGAGTTTTCGTAAATAAAATAGTTGTAGATTACGCTGAGATGAAACTATTTGCAAAGTCAAAAGTGGATGTTAAAAATTCGATAAAAAGGGGTCTATACCACGAACTATAAAGCTAGGAAGACGGATTAACTTACTAGTAACCAACTTATTGTAGCCATAATGGGAAACGGAGATTTATTTCATGGACCCACCATGAAATAAATTTCTACGGGATGCAAGCCGATGCAGCTAATATTACGGGGGTGTTGAATGATATTTAAACAAATATATCGATATTTTAGTCTAATATTATTCACACCGATTAATCAATATATCGAAATCTGAATTCAGAATACAATATTATTTCGATTTAAAAAAAAAATCCATATAAGTTACAACCTCTTTAATTGAACACAAAGTTTCGTTTGCCTTACCTTAATATAATTATTATTTTAGATCGGAATATTTATTTATATTATTTGCGTCAATTTGCTATTATATGAAAGAGTGCGAATTGGCTAAGTTTTAAATCTGTGGTCTACTGCTAGTAAATTCAGTTAAATATCGACTTTTTGTGTGTTTTTAGAGAAGTAAAACGTCTTAAAATTTTCTATAATTATTTAATTTTAGGTTGTAAAATATTCATTACTATTATAATCATCATTTCCATCTGCAGGGAAAAATCTTCCTGAATCAAAGATTTTTATTAATTGCGAAAAAATGGAGTTATTTTTTATATTTATTTTATGATATTATAGAGTCGATTTAACATAATATGTAATTCTACTGAGGACTGTATAGATTAGATGGAATGCTAAGTAGCAACTCAACCAGTAAAACGCTTACGTCGTTAGTTGGCTTATCATTTACAATGCCAGCTGGTTGAATGGTTGAATTACTTAATACTAGCAGGCCCGTGCGGAAAATTCGCACAGTACATTGTTATCAAATACTAAATTAATAAGAAAATAAAATAATGCAAAGTATCAAAAGATAAAGGAATCAATTCTTACTTTATCGACAAAGGAAACAAAATTAATTTAAACCATCATTTTTGTTTATAACTAATATATTTACAAATTTCAATAAGCTTTATCTTTGCAAAAAATTGTTCGATTTCAATGATTTTTTTTTTCCTTTTATAGACAATTTAGTAATGTTTTATATAATCGTGGGAATAACCTAGGAAAAAGTGTGTAATTTTTTAGTTATTCGCAAATAAAGTTTCTTTTCTTTCATAACTTGTTTGCCTGAATTTTCGGGGTGATTGGACTATTTTGCTCGCGTGAAGGAGAAGAAAGCCTTCGAAATTGGTGGCTCAATCTTGAGATTTTGTGAAGAATTAACGATGATATGGCTTGCCGATCTAAAACACCATCGATAAATAATATAAACTCCTCCTGTCTAGAGACCTCAAGTCGACGAAATGAGACATGTATCCAATGGCAGTCCTACAATTAACGTCAGGTTGTGTGGATGCGAACCCCATGCCTTGCATTATCTCGAAAATAGTACGTTTTGGGGCTTAAAAACGCAGGATCCGCTAGTTCCAGAGGATCTTGCTGTACGCATCAAAATCTTCAAGGTCCAATCTGTCCCGCATCGATCTACAGACCTACCATCGTTCCAGTATTGAAGCCTAACAAAATGTTTGTATCGACTTTATTTATTTTAGAAAGAAAAACAAAAGTGGAGAATACGATTCGCAAACCCCCCGTGAAATTCTGAATCCAACGGTACCCCATTCGTGGTATTTGAGCATGACAGGAGCTTATATTTGGTACAAAACCGATTTCGAGCCTTACTGTAATAATATATGTACGGATATTTACGATAATTGAAACACGTCTCTTATATTTCATAAAACCTAAATACTGCACTTACATAAATTCAAATTTTTCAAAAATCTTTGTAAAAATATAGAAAGATTACGTTAGGTTACCTACACAATAAATACTACGCCTAGGTTTTTGTTGTTGACGATCAACTGTTGTATGTCTTCAAAAATAGATATGTATAACACCTGCTGAACATTTGGATTTTATTTATTCGTTATCTCATCATTTCTCCAGGCTGGAAATTAGTATGAATTTAATCAATATATATCGGATTAACGTACAATTAAACCAAAAAAAATTCTTAGGCTGTGTTTTGGAAATTTTGAAAAAAATAAAATATATTTCTTGTATTGAGGTCGCCATGTAAGCCTTAATTACTCTGCAAAAAAAGGAGAAAACATTTCATTTCCTACCTGAAATTATGTTTAATTGATCATTAATGTAAAGCAATAATTACAGAAAAAATAATAATTTTAGAGATAAATTTCTAATATTTTTTCTTGACACGTGCATACATTTAGTATAATTACACATTAATTATTGATTTTGCGGGACTGCAAAATAGTCTGTGTATGTGAACAGTCCTGCTCAATAACGAAAAATCGTACAAAACTGATATTAGGTATTTAAGATAAGTATATGGTTAGGATGTTACAGCAACTTTTTTCTAGAAATCGGTTAATCGGAAGTGTCACTTTTGCAAACAATTTTAAATATTTTTACAATTTTCTCGAAAACGGCTGAAATGATTTTTATTACACTCGGTATATCAATGTGAAATTAAATTTTATTTGATATCGGGCAGGTCTTATCGTCATATTTGTCACATAACAGGGCTTAAGTGTCAAATGTTCAAAATTTCTTTCAATAAAGTAACTTCAATTAGGTTTATTTTAATTATTTAACTATCTCCCAATGTTAATAGTAATAAAAAACGGCTTTTCTTTCCCTCGATTCGTTCCCCTTCTCCGGTACACGGTAGTTCCGATTTTCAAATCCCCCATTTGATCGCGTAGTCTTAAATTCTCTCTATCTACCCTCTTCCTCTTAGCCCTCTCTATTTTTCCTCGTACTATATCCCACGTCCTCCTTAATTCAACCCTATTACTCCTTACTTGTTCGGCCACTTGGTCGTTAGTCGCCGTTTGTAACCTTTCGAAGAATTTGATAATTGACTTATTGAGAAAAAATGAAAAAAATTTAATTAGGACGACAATGAATTTCCGGAAATAATAATAGAAGGCATACGTTTAATGTATCGTTGGAAAGCTGAGTATTGTAGAAAAGGCAATATCTAATACACAAAGTCGTAGAAGGTAATGGAGACTTCTAATGGAGTAACATTATTTAACGGAAACTAAATATTTCTAAGAAAATTGAATGAAATTTCCGAACTAAATGTAAACTTTTAAAATTATTATTAAGTTTAAAATAAACACCTAATCAAGACAATGGCATTTTTTAAAAACTATTCATTGTACTAGCATAACAAGAAGTGAAATATTTCATGGATGTGTAAAACACATGTTTATAATCTTAAATACTCCTCCAGCATTCTGTCAATTTGTTCAGATCTTTTGGTCTTTATATGTAAGTATCTTATTCATTAGGCGTTCTATAATTCTCCTTGCATCGATACTTCCTTTGAATTGCTTTGATTCCTCTTCCACCTAACAGAACGCTTGTCCTAAACAATGAAGTTCACAATTTCTTTTCTTACCTACATACTCGATCACAGCATTCTGTATAATAAAAAAAACCGTATTACTAATAATTTAGTTTTCCTAGGGCATCATAAGTTCTTTTTGTAGCATTGATTTATTTAATTGGATTGTTGGCTTGATTATAGAACAAACAATTATTTTTCAGCTTTTGCTGCGGTCGGATTCGCTTGTAGACCTGACGAGATGGTCAGAGGTTGCCGTATCCACGAAGGGCACTGTATTTGCGGTCTTGGCTGCAGTTCAGACTTCAAATACCCGACCAGAGAAGACTGCAGACAAGCTCTGAAAGGTAAGTACGAACCTAAGTGAACATATAGAGTCAGGAAGAAGATACTCTATATAGAATACTTAACTTCTACATCTGCTGTTCTTCGAATGTTTAATAGATGTGAATTATCACTACTACTCATTTTAGATAAGTTATGAACAATGAATTTCCAATGATAGTTACCTATAAAACGAAGTAAGGGTGGCCGAGCGTTTCTAAGTGTTGCCCGCGTTTGCATTCTTTAGTCTACGGAGCCGCACAATGGGGCAAGCTTACGCTGCGGTTGGACATTGGGTTTGGGAGAAAAAACAAAAGTTACAATTAAGTTTTACTGCATTAATGAGGAACTAGCATCGTTTCCCCTTCATTTCCAGTAATTTTTAACTCAATTATTGTATTAATAAAGCCCTGATGTGAGATAATAGGAGTAGAAGTGAAAACTATCTTTTTTATATTTAGAGCTAGTTTGCGGGTATTTTTTATTCAAACTTAACGGTACGAGCTGGACAGAATTAGGTACTTCTAGTGAACCCTAAGATAGCTGAAACATATGTTTTTAAATATATGCATAGTTGTTCCGACATTTTAAGCAATTGCAAGCAATTTTGGTACATTCCGCAAATCGCCCGAAAAATTAGATACACCCTATTGTTAAGAAAGGTTCCAACTTCTAAAAACAGTTTTCAGACCTTGCCTCAACCTACCACCTCGGAAGTTTTTGGGGATTTATCAGAGGTGTACGTTGAAATTAGAGTGACTACCATCACTTTTTATTTATTTAATTTTTTTGTCATCATCAGGGCGTGTTTCGAGCACTGACACAGTGTTGAAACGCCGGCACTAATACAAACTTTATAATGACTACCTCCTGAATATTTATCATAATTTTATTATTATTATTGCATACTGTAACTTTATTTATATATTTATATTTTATTGTAATAGGTCTTTATTAAATAGGTAATAAATTATACAATATCTAAACAATGTAATGTAACATAAAATACTTGATACAAATAGCAATTGATAAGTTAGAGCAATATTTTTTTTTTTTTTTGGTTTAATTTTTTTATTCACACCTCTCATAATGGTAATGACAACCAGTGAATGTGAGATCGATTGCTAAATGTAATGTCATGAAAGGCATGAGGAGGATCAGTGCCCAGCGGCACCTCACTCGGCGTGATATATACGTTAGGCGAGGAGGTCCCTCATCCAGCTCCCCTTCAGTCTCCTACAGACATTACCTGGCATATTCGTAGTGGCCATGTCATTTATAAGTGTATTAGGGTGTCCTTGTAAGTTGTCGTGGAATCGTTTATAATGAGTTCGTATGCGTTCGTTAACAGTCGGCATATAGAGGTCAGTATGTAAGGTTATGTTGCTAACGTACCAAGGTGCTTTTGTAATTGTTCTGTATGTTTTTGCTTGAAAGATTTGAGGTTTGTTTAAGTGAGTCTTTTGAGCAGTTCCAAATATCTGTGATGCGTAAGTCCAAATAGGTTTTAGTAAGTAATTGTATGTGTTCAATTTCTGTCTAAGTTTTAGTTATGAATTTTTCGAAAGAAGTGAACTCGGATTTCTTAATCTTTGATTTAGCGTTTTTCGTTTCTTGATTATATGTGGGCCCACGTCATTTTTCTGTCAAATGTCAGACCAAGGTAGTGGACGGTGTCTGTCTGTGAAATCTGTGTATTGTCAAGGAAAACTGGAGGGTTCATGTCGTCAATGTTTCATGTCGAAGCATAAATGTCATGTGCTGTGATTTGTCTTGATTTAGACGGATTTTCCAGATTTTGAACCAGCTATGTAATCTTGTTAAATACTGTTGTAGGGTCTGTGAGGCGTATGTTGGATTTTTGTGTCTTGCTAAAATTGCTGTGTCGTCTGCATATGTCGCTGTTAAAATGTTGGGACTGCAAGATATGTCATGGGTATACGTGATATAGATTAGTGGATCGAGTACTGAACCTTGAGGTACTCCTGCTGAGATAGACCTGATGGAAGATAGTTATGACCCGTGTCGGACCGAGAAATATCGGAAAGGAAGGATGGTAGAATTAGATAATACGTAGGTGGGAGTATTGTCTTGAGTTTAAAGAGAAGACCCTGGTGCCAAACTCTATCAAACGCTTGAGCAACATCCACAAATACGCCAGTTGCATATACTTTCTGCTCTAGTACTGTTAGCCCTGGAGCCAGGGCCCAAAAATCGACCTGATCGCAAGCGAAGGTTTGATGGTAAATTACGAAAATGTGTGTTATTCTGAGTAAAAAAAACCTTGTCTGCCGTTCCAGAGCCGCTGCTTTCAAAAATGGCGGCTAATTTAAAGAATATTAGGCCAACAATTTTAGGATCGAAACGAGAAATACATTGCGAAAAATGTGAGAAAAGCTTCTATTTTTTAACTTTTACATATGGGTTTAGTCATGTAAAAAACAAAATTGCTAACGCGGGCCACCAAGGGAAAAATTTTTACAACCATAAAGTCAGATTTTTTCGATATTTTTTGTATTTCTCGCCTATAACTCCTAAGCAATGCATCAAAGCGAAAAATAATTTATAATAATTTATAGAATAAAAATTGTAGAGCATCAAATTTTGCGTCTAGTGAGTACTGACATTTTTATTGCAGGCCAATTACATATTTTGAATCGGGATTCGTTAGTCTTTCATAAAATTCGGAATCTTTCGGCACATTGTTTACCAAAATCTTTTGCTGTTGAGAGGTGAAAAAGAGGCTTATACTACATGTAACAGACTTTAAACAAAACTAACAGTAGGAAAGACACACATACTGTTGAAATATTGAAAATCAGTTTTACCTTCATTACTAATTTCTAACCATCGGGAGATTACCGATTTTGTTTACAGCAAGTGACCTGCATTAAATTAGTTTGTACTGAGTATACGAAAAATTTGATGCTCTACAACATGGATTCTATGGATTTTTCCTCTTGGGGAACTCATTTCCAAGTTACAGGGCCATTTATAGTAATTTGTCTCAGTTTTTGACAAATTTAGTAAAACTCAGCGTTGGTTGACCATGGTTTTATACCTTCCGGCGTAACCAAATTTTAAATTGTATGTGCTCGCTTGACGCAAAATTTAACGTTCTTTAATTTATTAAAGAATACATTTTCTTTTCGATGCATTGTTTAGGAGTTATAGGCGAGAAATCCAAAAAATATCGCCTAATATTCTTTAAATCAGCCGCCATTTTTTAAAGCAGCGGCTCTGGAACGGCAGACAAGATTTTTTTTACTCAGAATAACATACACTTTCGTAATTTACAATCAAACCTTCCCCTGCGATCAGGTCGATTTTGGACCTGGCTCCAGGGCTATGTAGATATGTTGTCCGTTACTCTTTGTAGTTGGTGTACAGTTGAGTGATGTGCCCTAAATCCAAATTGATGGTCAGGTATTATTTGGGTGTTTGTTATTATATCAACAAGTATTTTGTTCAGTAAGCTTTCAAAAATTTTGGAACAGATAGGTTGTAAGCTGATTGGTCGGTATGAGGAAGGTGAGTTTTTGTCCTTGTTAGGCTTGTGAATCATTATTATATGTGAGTATTTCCACTGTAGTGGAAATTTAGTTGTCCTCAGTATTGCATTATAAATAGTTGTCAAAAGCACTACAGCTTCAGCTCCTATTTCATTCACACCTTCCCAGATTGCTGAACAAATCAAAAAGTTGCCTAAAAGAAAAGCTCCTGGACATGACTTGATTGACTTGAAGTGCTCCAACAAATGCCTAGAGCAATAATGTTGAAAAATATTTTGTTTATTGAATAATTGATTTAAATAAACCAAATAGGTTTATGTTAAATAATAAGCATTTCGTGTAAAATAATTATTTCACCCAATGAAAGTATTTGAAGTATTTCACTTCCTCCTTAAGCCTTCTGTCCGTAAGCCTCTCCTCTACTCCTGTAAATACACCAATGATCATAGCTGAACTTTTAAGTTGCGTCAGAATTTTTGAAATCTGCGATGAATTTCCTCTAACAATGACAAATCATCATATGATCATTACATCCAAAGAAAAGTAATTAAGAAAGTATGGACAATTTTTAGAAGTACTGGATGGAGTATCGAGCAATATATTATCCAACTAATAAAATCATGGAGATTTAAAAAAAAACTTGCTTCATTTAATTATCTTCCCCGTAGTTTACAAAGCTCTGCGAAGCTTGTCAAGTTTAGAAGAAATGTTAACTTTAGGAGTTAGATAACTACATTAATGGTATATATAGCGGCTAAATAAAAAAATAAAATATATATATATATTTTTTTATTTAGCCGCTGTATATATATATTGGCATGAATGATTATTTAGACCGCCAATATTTTTTATTATTTTCTAATTATTGTCTGACATAGTCGGATTGAAACCGTGCTCAGGAATTAGGAGTCGTGTGCTATAAGTTTTTGATGTCTATAAACTCTTATAAATTTTTAAATGAAGTAAATAGTTTGCAAATAACACTATTTTTTTTCTTCGCTACGTTTAAAGTTTCTTGCACTAGGAGATATAAATAACTCTTAGATAGGAAGCTGAATAAAGTGATGAAGATGAAATTTTCTGATTACAAGGTCATCAAAATTAGAAAATTCTACTACTAATATTGTCTATGTTGGTTTCCACTAATTCAAGCATTTCCTTTGCAAGGTCATCAAGCAAATGCTGCGAAAATTATCTACCAGAAACTAAAATGCAATTTAAAAATCGAAACGCTAGAGGAAAAAAAAAACTGATAATAGTAGGGTCAAAGGACCTTGACTTTTTCCCGTTTATCTCCTATTTATTATAAGAATAAAGAGTTAATGAACTCTTGCATGATAGTGGTTATATCTTAGATCACCGACATTGCAACGCAGGATCCAAACAGATCTACGGAAGTTAATTTGTTGTCTATTTTGTCATTATTGGCAATTTTATAGTACTGTACTTGGTTACTTGGTCAACGTGACTTTTATTTTGGGATTTGCGTTCTTCCCAATCTGACTGGAACTGGGAAACAATAACTTTGGGAACCCAAGTATTATGAAATTTGATAAGTATTGAGAAAAAAATCGTGATATCGGTACTGTCTGAGAACTTATTTACTTAAAAATGACGTTTCATAAAGAATATATTTCATGGCCTGCTTTTCAACTCTAAATATTAAACTCTTGATTAAATTTCCTTTGATTTTTTTAAATATATTTCCTAATTTTAAAACAAGTATAATTTTCGTGAAATAGCTTAAGAATTCTGACAAGTATTCAAAGAATTATTTCAATGATTCCAAGAGTTACGCTTTTCATACTTAATAACTGATTATTTCTTTTATAGGAAAAACCAGAGACGTATGCTCAGGAAATCCTTGCGCTAACAGTGGCGCATGCACCCAGATCACTTCTTACGGCATGAAATTCAGGTGTCGCTGTGAAGGGACAGGATTCTATGGACCAAGATGCCAGTACGGTAGGTAACTCTGAAGTTGAAACATTGTTTATTTTCTCGAATCAGGTGAAAGAATGGAAGAGAGGCCAATCCCGAAAGGTTGTGCAAGTAAAACATTAACAGAATATACTACCTAGGGGAAGTGTGAGATTAATATTATTTATTTATTTTAAACCTTGCTGTGCCTTTTAGGCAATACGGGTGTCTGCAGTAGTAAGATATTAGGCAGGTGAGGCTTAACATCTCACTACTGCAAGTAAAGCTTTATCATCTAATCTTTCTTGATTTTCTTAAGTGATTTTTCATAGACAATTCATACCAATGGTCTATCAGTTCCTCCTCTTCTTAGATTTAAATGGGCTGGGCCCACCGCTTCTTTCCACCCGTGCATAAAATCTTAGTAGTACGGGTAGTTTTCCGCACTGACTAACTAAGGAAAATCGTTCTCTGTAAGAATATAGAGACCGGTTTCCCTCAGCAATTTTGCCCTTAGTTCTTCAAAAGCGGCGCAGCCGACTATGATGTGCTCAGCAGTCTCCGGAACACCGCAGCTGGGACATATGGGGTCGATGTCCATTCCATGCCTATGAAACTTTGCTCGAAAGCCACCATGATTTGTAAGAAACGTGACCGAACGGTGGAAAAGTATTTCCTCAAGATAGGTCCTTTTGGGGTTATCATCCACAGCCGTTTTCATTGCGAGGTGAACTCAGGATGAAAAAATGAATTTATTTGAATATGTGGGATCTCGTAACGCGCAGTTAAATCATGAATGAATGTCTATTCTTCTCCCTACTTTTTTTTATGAAATGAATTATGTTCTAAAGCCCATGTGTCCAAATAAATAGCTCAAAGACCCAGTTTTTGGTAAAACCCACAATGCTTCGGTAAAAACCGTGAATCGACGCTGAAAAATATTTTGTTGAGTGGTTCAGTTTGTTATCGTTAACAACAATAGGTTCCATCCGAGCGTGTACTCATGATCCTCTTCCATCTGCGTGATCCATCATCCTCACGCCGAGGATTTTCGGTAGTTCTACCGAGACTTTTTTTTTTCCTATGTCATAGTCATGGGTCATTCGACCATCTGACATCTTGCTGCCCAGGATAAGTTTGATTTTTTTATGTAATCATTTGCATATGTTTTATTCCTAATATCCGTCAAAGCAGGATATTTGTTTAGATGGTCTGCATCCATTTTCGCTTGTTCACATAATTTACACCTTGGATCCTCCCTCCTTCACTACCATCCTCACCATTCGTCAAATTGAATCGTAAGATTTTGGATGGATTGTTTGTAGCAATTCTGCTCCTCTCCTGGCGAGACTATTCGCTTCCTTATTTCCTGGAAGACCGCAATGGCTCGGAATTCAATGTAGGACCACATTGATGCCTCGGAGTATTAGATCGTAGAGAAGGGATTTGCACTCCAAGATAGCACTCGACAGACATTTATTCACGACAGTAATAGCGAGGATTGCTGTTTGAGAGTCGACAAAGAGAACAGCGCTCTGAACTTGCCTTCCTGATAGTGTTCTTATAGCTATGAGGATCGCTGCTATCTCACCGTCAAAATTAATACTTCTCTCATTACCTAATGTCAGTACACGTTTTCCTGCAAGATCACTTGTTTACATAAACATTGTACTTATTCCTCCTGCTAGGCTCCCGCCAATCTGATTAACTGAAGTTAACATGATAATTAAAATAATTACGAGTACAGGGATTTTAATTCTGGTATTAATCTCCCTTCCTCTTCCCTGGCCCGATAAAAAGCCCTTTAGATGAAAGGGAGGACAAAAAATAAAATTGAAAAGCTCATTTAAGGGTGGTTCGTCCTTTTAAAATCGACCACTTGAGGCGTTAAAATGAAACATTCAATCTTGAATCGAAGATAGGTGACTAGCTAGCTCACTAGGACATATCTATGCATCTTAAATGACCAAAATAATACGACATCTATCAGTTCTGTCTCTGAGTCTTAGCAGTTACCATCCTGGATCATCCTCTCACGCTAGCTTCCAAGAGGTTGGTGCACCGCTCCACTTTTCTCCGTCACGGTAACCACTATTCTTCGACCACTCCCAGCAACTCGTCTTATTGTCCACAAGAGAAGGTAATCTCTTTTAATTTCAAGGAGGGAGTGCAATCTATTTTAAACAAATATGATTGTGTAATGCTTAATCCATGCACACTGATGATGTTGAGATTAGTGTATTGAATGACCGAAGGTACATTGACAGTTGGGATCCGAAAGTACTCTAATTGATCGTTATAACTGCAGCTTGGACCTAGCAATCGGTTGTCAAGGATTTTGATTGAAAGTGATCTGTTAAAATAGATTTTATTAAAGATCAGTGCATCGGTGTTTCCATTATGAAGATTTTTGTTTGCTATTGAAGCAGAGAAAAATGAAGTATTTTCTGGAATTTTCAATCGCATCAAAAAGAGGTACATTATTCAACATAACTTCACAAGAGAATTATTAATTCCACGAAAGTCATATGCTATCATAAATCAAACAAATGTTGACGATTAAAAAGATAGATTATTAATTTTCTTGGTATTTTGATGATTAAGGTTTAAATATCCCTCAGTGTTATTGAGTTTAAAAAATCATTTCCTTTTTTTTAATGCTTGTTTACATGGATGTTTATCTATTTATTTTTTTGTTTATCAATGTCCAGTTCAATGGTATCTGCTAATTACTTTTTAGTAACTATCTTAGACAGTTTGATTAGACCACTGTCATAGGTCAATTACATGTTGTATTTTGGTTTCAACAAGAGGTTATCCATAAATTTCCACTTCCTTATTACATTTTTATCATATGAATTGCAAATGTATTTTTATTTATTAATAATTTAAACTTCTTAAATATCCCATTTTCAGAATACATTTTGTACCATCATTATTATCATCTATTAATTTGTTTATTGTTCAAAAATTAAGGCCATTTATGCTTCTAATAGATAGTGCATTGGTTTTGATGCGTCAAGATGCATGTAAAGAATGATTTTCTTCTTTTACTCCTTGTTTCCTATGTATTTGCCGTAGCAATTATTTTCAAGGACAAATGCATATTGCAGAAAATTCTGTCGAACTAAGGCAAAGCATAGTTTGTTTGAGAGATAAGCCGTTTTGTTATAGTAATTTATGGAGCCTCATTATAATTTTATTTTAAAAATAGATTTTATTGAAGAAAAATAATTTAAAATTTCAAGAGAAGTGAGAAACTCAAAGTCAAAATGCATTTTGTCTTCTTTCATTTTCATTCACTTATTCCTTTTTTTATTCGAACAAAAACATGCAAGGAATTATACAGTGAACAACGAATTCGGGAGTTTTTACAACGCAGTGACAAATAGCAATATAATCCAAAACATACTAGACTTAAAATTCTTGCCTAAAATAATTTAGCGTTAGGATGCAAAATTAGTTTTTCCAGGAAATGGACAATATCGAATATACGATATATGGTATGGAAATAAAGTATAAACAAGATGTTGGAGAACTTGAGAATACTAATTCATTAAAAAAACTAAATACTGTTAAAAAAACTAAAACATGGTTGTAATTCTGGTAATAACTGTTAAAATAAATTCTAATGAGTAATATATTTATAACAAGTAATATGTTTGTTTCAGCTTGCCCAACACCTGGAAATGGAGCGGTCAAAGTTTTTCCATATGAATGCATAGTTATATGATGTTTTCTCAGAACCATCGATATAAAAAATTTTTGCCAAAGAGACAATTATAAATCTTTTGTAAGATGTTTTTTACTAAAACGTTGTATCTACTTTTTCTCTATTACTTATATTAAGTTTGTTTTTTTATATAAATATAGGTTTGATAATAACAAAACTCATTTTTAATCACCCGAATTTTCAATATGAACAAATAAAATGTCCACGAATTTATTTCTGGTTTATTTAAAGGTACCTTTCCTAGATTTATCATCCTGGAGTCTTATGAGAAAATAAAATAGAAAATTAGCATCCTAAACGCATGGCCGGAAATGAGGTAGGTCAAAGGGAGTACTCACCTCCAGAATTTACAACGAAATTGTATTTTTAAGTAAATTTAAAAATATTTGTTCTCTTTTTTTTTATTACCTCAATTCATTCAATAAAGTTTATCACATGTCCTGTTGATATTTATTTTCAAGTTAATTACCTGAGTTAATAAAAAACTATTAACTATTGACTTTCATTGGAAAGCACTAGCGGATCCAAGATTTAATTTTGGAGGGGGGCTTCAGCCCGAAAGATTTTTTTTCATATATATACAAAAATAATTAATTTGAAAAAAAAGAAAGAAATTACCTACATATAGAAAATGGTGTTTAAGTGATTCTTGAAGTCCTATTGAATATAATACAAGAACAATAATAATAATAGTTTGTAATATTTTTTTCTATAAAACATAGTTATATTTTACCGGGTTTTTTTTTGGTGGGAGGGGGGAGGCTTCAGCCTGAAAATCCCCTCCCCCGTAGATCAGCCTGTGTTGGGAAGGGAAATGGATTGAAGAATGTGCTCTTTAAAATTAAGCTTGCTCTTAAAAGTCCTTGTTCGGGTCAGTTAAATTACTTTAACCATACTTTTATTTTCAATTCAAAAAACATAATATGATTTGTTAATACCTGAGACAATAGGATAAACTTCCCTTACTTATTATATGACTGCATAGAAATATCTTAGTATAAAATGGCCTGGTAAGCCACCAGTGAAACTTCGCATACTGGCAAGAACATATAAGAAGCGAAGTGAAACGAGGGTTATGTGTTTAGGTCGTAAGCTTAAAGCTATGTAAGCCTTATCTGAGTGAATGGCTGGATCAATTTTTAGACTTGATGGCTCAAATTATTCTGTGAGATCCACTGAGTATTTTGAAACGATTTGAGCTAAAAATACAGACCCGTTATTAAATAAAATGTGTATTTATAATATTATATTATTAATTACTATTATATTTTAAATTTTTGTAATATTTGTAACGCTGTTTTGAGCGAGTAGTCCCATTAATTTTTAAGACGGCTCAAATTATTCGGTGAGATCCCCTGAGTGTTTAAAAAAATATAAAATAAATATTCATCCGTTATTAAATAAAATATGTTTAATCGATTCGCAAAAAGCTTTGTAGCGCTGTTTTGAGCGAGCGGCTGGATTAAATTATTCAGCGAAGTCGAGTGTTTCGAAATAATTTGAGCTCAACATTCTATCAGATTACTGTGTAAAGTGTGTTTAATTAATCCGCAAAACGGTGCATAAGGATTTTTTGAGCTGATGGCATGATTGACTTTTAACTTTGGCGGCTGTAACTTCTCAGTTAGATCCCGTGAACTCCTGGTTTCAACGTTATGTAACCATTTTTTATGGAAAAATGTATTATAAATTTATCTCTGTAAGTATTATTGTTCGTGTAGTCACATTTAAAATGACTTTTCTAAAGTTAGTTTCTTTCCTTTTTTCCAAATTAATTATCGTTATTTTTATGAAAAAAAAAAAATTAAATCCTGGATCCGCTGGTGACTTGAGTTAGTTTTTCAGTCACTGAGATTCAACAGTTGGCTTAATTTCGTCATAATCGGCCTTTTATTAAAGGTGGCTTGTCAAAGCTGGAGAGCGCAAAACACAACTTTTACTTACCTCTCTACTTTGAATAGAAATTATTTTTTTGATAATGGACAGTTATACAATTTTTAAAGCGCAATTTTAACGGAGCTATAGCTTAAAGCTAACAAATCATTAGGACCACTAAAATAACAAAAACCCTACTAATTATATTAACAGTAGACAAGAAAAATCTCGGTACTCCATCTATTTTTGTAAACCATATAACTCTTGTCTCAGAGCTATACATTTATATGCCTGGAGATTTGAAAGTATATTTCTATGTTCGACCTACAAATGATTATGTATTGTACGCCTATTATTTATTAGACTGTTATTTTCGATTGTAAAGTTTACTAAACTGAAATTACGAGATTTTCATTGCCTGCCACTAGTGATCCAGGATTTAATTTGGGGGAGGGGTTCAGGGTCAGGGACTTTAGCCTGAAATATTGTTTTCTCATATATTTAACGATAATGAATTTGAAAAAAAGAAGAAGTTAACTAACTGACATGGTGTTTAAGAGGTAATTTTTAATATTTTATTCTATAAAAAATTAATATATTTTACCTTTTGTGGGGGAGGAAGATTTAGCCTTAAAGCCTCCCTCCACCATAAATCCGCCTGTATTGCCTGCCATAGCTAGGTCAAACGTTCTCACACTGATTAAATACATAATATTTGGATTTCACAAAGGGAAAATTCATCGAATTATACACTAATTTTCTAAAAGGTTACATGACGATTTTTCGGAATAAACGGGATCTCAAATGGTGTATTTCCATTGAAAATTTTCATAAAGCAATACTTTCCCTTACTATAGATTACATATATCTAGAAGTGAAAGTAAAAATAATAATTGGTCTTGACAATCAAAAATACCAGTAGTCAATTTTTTCAAGTCGTTAGTTGGACTAAAGTTGAAAATCAAGCATCTGTAATTAAACGGCCAACAATAATGAAAAACGCCCGTAATAAAGCATCTAGATAATACAATTATCTTTCTAAATCACTGATTAATTTTTAATATATTTGAAACAGTTGTTTAGAGAATGCACTTAATCGGCGGAAAAGCAGCACTAGCGTACGCGCTGTTCTGTGTTGAATTGTAAATATTTATTTTATATTTATATTTATATTTATTATTATTTATTTATATTGTAAATATTTATTTTTAACCTGCATATGTTTTTTGTCGAAACCTGCTCTTTTATTGTCAAGATGGGAGAAAACCGAAAATATTGCGGTTTTTGTTGTTATAAAAAGTGAGCTGGGAGGGGGGAGAGGGCGCCGAGGTCGAAAACTTGGATTTTGCATCTGTCATCTTGTAAAAGCAAAAAATCTGATTTGGTCCTCATAGCAGAAAAAGGCATTTTCAGACAAATAGGAAGTGAAAGTAAAATTCCAAAACGTGTATTTCCGTTGAAAACTGGGATTCGAAAATTTAGAGGAACGGTAGAAAACCATTCGACACACTATTTAACGTCCTTTAATTTGTTTAGTACAGTTTAGGAGTTGTATGTATATGGCTTTTTCGGATGCAAAATGTTTTATCTAGGTTGCTGGAGTTAGAAAATTAGGATTTTACATGTTCAAACCCAAATAAGTTAAAAAAAAAAAACTTTTCACACATTTTTCGTACTATATTTTCCCGTTTCGATCCTCAAGTTACTGGCCTAATATTCTTTAAAATAGACGCCATTTTTTAAATTAGCGGCTCTGGAATGGCAAAGTTCATTATACCTAGAATAACTTACTTTCAAACCTTCGCCAGCCGATGAAGTCGATTTTTGGGTCTTGGCTTATGATGATAAAAAAAAGTGTCTTCTAATAAATGACCTGTTGTGAAATGAACTTTTAAAGAGAAATACTGCATGCAATAAATGTCGTAGTAACCTTGTAATAGAGTGATTTACTAAACTTCATATTTTTTTAAAATTTTACTATATAATCAAAGACACTTTTGCAGGCAGTAGTTTTTCTAGTGCTCCTGTTGTAGAGCAAGAACAAGTTAGATATTAGTGTCAAAACGGAAGGAACATATTCTTGATGTAATTGATTTTTCAGTTCTTTTATTTATTTTTTGTAATGAGTATGCTGTGCATAACAAAAACGCATTCAATATTCATTAATTTCTTTTGAATTAATCTCTTCTGTAATGAAAATGTACTTGGCTAATCAAAAATCAATCAAGATTACTTTTCTAGTGTGATCCTTACAGATATGGGTGGAGAGGAAGACCAGAAAGCACATCTGAGTACTTAGCTTGATCTCAATAGGACTTAGTGGCTAAGCTATTAAATAATAAAACAGTTTAAATTAGTGATTAGGAAAATGAGGAATATAATAAAAAAGGAAAGAATTCAACAATAAATTTGGAATTTTCTCAATAATAATAAGTTGAAATGAAGACATATAAAATTGATAAATATTCGAGTAATTATTTTAGATTAAGTCATGAATTTCACCTATAATAAAGGAAAAGATAATAAGGGTTAACATTAAAAAATATTACAGTAAAATAGTGCAGCACATCTGGTCCTATTCGGAGGGCTCACTATAGCTAGGGAACATACACATCAAGCTACTGACAGAAATGACATTGTTAAAAACAGTCTAAGATTCTACAATGAGATGATAGGAATAACAATAAATATAATTCCGTAAAAATAATATAAGATTTAGATAATATTAAATAATAATCTAGAAAACTCGTTAGTGCCATTACCTACCTTTTAGAAGAGTCCATATTGTACAAAACAAGAAATATTGTCCATGATTTGCCAGCTTAATATATATATGGATAAAAAATTATCTTAGAACAGTCTTGATCTTGAAAAGAGAAGCCCTCCCTTTAATCAGTCTTATATTCATGCATAAAACATAAACATACAGATCAAGCTAACATTTAAACAGCCTGTTAACAAAAAAGATGCACCACCACAAATTAGAGACGACAGAACAATATCCTCCAAGTTCTTGGGTAGACATCAAGGTCAGTAAAACTAACAGGTTCGCTCACTTAGAAATGTGTAGTGGGGGAACTTAAAACATGACGTAAGGAATAGACTGCGAGACCTACCTATTACTCTTTCAAGCCTATCAATGGAGGCTTATTTCAACATCATTGTGCTTTTTTTTTTTGTTTTCTTGTTTAATTTATTGAGAAGAATACTTTTCTATGTTTTTGACGTTTAATGGAAGATAATTTCAAGCAGATAAATAAATAAATACGGCTATCAATCTAGAATAAAATGCTATAAAGATGACAGGCCAGAACTAAAACGAAAAGAACGAAATTGATATTAAGATTATTTTTAAATTCTTTATTTCAAAATCCCTGTAAATAATATACAAATATATTACATAAATAGAAAAAACTAAGATTTATATATATTTAGAGAACATTTTAGCACAATGTTTGTTTAATTTTGTTTGTAGGTCTCATGGATATTTCTTTTAGTATTATAACGATATTATAATAATATTATATGGGTGAAGATCTTTGTCAGATTTGCAGTAAAAATTTCTTTAAATAAATAAATTTAATTTAAATAAACAAATTTTACTCCAAATCCTGATAATTTATTTTCACCTTGTAATCTTAACAGTCAACTACTTATCCGTCTCTGAAACAATATTATAATGAGTATTTTTTTTTTTACTTTTAATAACATGTTACAGTGAATTCGTTTGTTCTTATCAGTATTTCTCTTAATAACATAATTATTAATAGAATCCTATAGAATGCCACATACAAAATGCGCAGTTGCATCTTGCAACAATAATCTAATTGACACAAAGAAGATGAGAAAGAAAATTTAATTTCATACTTTTCCAAAGGACACTCGAAGAAAAGATTGGATTTTAAAATGTAAATGTAAAAATATTTACTATCTTTTTTTTAGGAAACAAAATGTAGAAATTAATGAAGAAAGCCTTTCTTTCAGCAAAGGGAATTTAATAGAATCAAATTTTTAAATACCCAATGATTTTTACAATTAAGAAAACATAAAATCAAAGACAAAAAAAATTGAGAAAAATCGCTACATAGGATTACATATGACAAACAAAGGATGGAGGGGTAAACATAGTCTTTTGGCTACATCAGAGCTCAATTCCTCGCCGCCATTTTCCCTCTGAGTGAGCGAACCTGGTAATTTTACTGACCTTGGATAGACATATATAGTGATGGTCCGACACACAATGCTCAAGCTGGAGTCTAAGCAGACCAGTTTCAACTAAGTGAGACAGTTGATACTTGATGGGGAAATGAAAGCTATTCTCTTGGCTTTAAAACCATTGAGGACCATACACACTGGAAACAGTGTTATAGTTGTGGATTCAAAAGCAGCTATACAGGTGGTAACCAGTGAAAATGATTGCTCATTTGTAGCTAACCTTGCTTGCTGCACACTTCTCCAAAAGGTTCAATGAAAGGGTATGAAATCATTACACAATGGATAACCAGGTATTACATGGAATGATTCGAGCAAAAAAAAATTCTCTGTTGTCCCAGCCTGATCCATCTGTACCTTTTACATCTGTGCAATTTTTAAAACTTAAGTTTGTGGAATAAGATATGAATCACAATAAAACCAATTCCCGTACTAACTTCCAAGAAAATATCCAGTGACTGGTTACTACAGACCACTGATTCCCCACCTACGCCGTAGCGCTTCAAAATCTAAGGAAAAATTGATCAAAATGCAGTTGGATCAAATAATTCCAACAACTTCAGCTATTCACACTTGTTCCTTAAGCACAAACTTTTAATCTAAAGAGAGAAATTATCTTAGTAAGCAGCAAAATAATGAATACAGGAATTCAGATCCCAAAATGGCGATTTTGCAGTAATATAGTACTTAATATCCAAATGGAAACAGAATTTCACCCTCAATTAGAAGTTGGAAAATTCTAACACCATAATCCTGACAGTCAAGCCACACATTAGCCTGAAGGATCTAATGTCTGTTTAATTAACAAATTTTATAAATTCATTTGATGGGAGAATCAAGAAATATATAAATATAAGCTAGGGGAAAACCCATACTTAGTGATCCATAACAAGGAGACCTATCATAATTAGTGACACTATTGCTAATGCACCAGAAATATTTTAATGTGAACAAATTAAAAAAAAAAAAAAATACTCCTATAAATTAACATACTAAGTGAAAAGTAAATTCACTTCAACGAAGTCCATTTTTTTTCAATTCAAATTCACTTTAGTATCTCCCAAAAAAAGAAACCATATTAGACAAGAAATAGTAAATGTGCAATTAAAGGAGATATCAATGTATAAAAACCTCTTAAGTCACTATCCTGAAACAATCAATTCCAAATTTTTCGTTTTTTTATAAATTTTTGGATACTAGAGGCACATTTACTAAGCTATTCAGCTTGGAATTCAAAGATAAAATATTTATCCATTGTTGAAAATTACTACGGAAACCTACATTATTTAGAATTTTTAGTCCATAATTATCTATACAGAGAACAATTAACAAATAGAATTATTTGATTATGGGATTAGTAAAATAAAACACAGCTCAATAATTCAATCTCGACTAGTGTCAGTATTACGTAAAGTCTTATTTATTGTGTGTCATGAACAAAATAATCAGGTAATACATAATATGACTTTGAAATAGGCATCCCATTTAGAAATATTTTCAATATCATTCAGTTTAGTAGCAGTGCCCACACCATGCCCTATAGCAGTTTAAAAATAACAAAGCAGATGGAAAATTAATGAAGACATGCTCACACATAACACCTCTTTAAAACACATTAAATAAAATACAACTAAACTTATAAAAAAATAATAAAATTTTTTCTCGACAGAGAATGTCACAAATACATTTCATACAATATTGTAACAATCTGACTTATTCTAAATAATTAATAGCTTACAAATCACATTTTTTTTTAATTAGTTTTTCTTTTTTCATTTCATATTGGGAATGAAAAAGCAAACAGCTATAGTAACTGGGGAAAAAAAGAAAGAAAAAGAAAACAGATTGGATACACAGCACTTACTAATTGTTGCGATATAACATACATAATCTAAAAATCTCCTTGGTTTTTGTAAACTATGATGTATAAAATATCTACATATGTATGTATATATTACAGTCATACATACACACATATATATTACTTTTATCACAGAAACATTATAAAATTTGACTATAATACACACTACTCATAATTTAAGTTAACGACACGTTTAACTTCATAACAACTTTGGGGGACAATAACAATCTTACATTTGAAATAACATCAATAACTGCCAACGAAAAATTGAAACACATAATGTGAATTATATTTATAAAAAAAAAAAAAATTATACTTCAAAATGGAATGAAGATATTTTATTAGTTTATTCTAAAACATATAAAAAGTATTTAAAAAAAATTGAAAAAGAAAAGAAATGCATAAAAATGAGTTTATTTAAATGTGTTGTTCGTACATATGTATATATACTTTATATATAAAGAAGCTTGTTCGTTAAGCTACATTTGCAATGTTAACATGGCTTTGTGGGCACTGATATTTTTGTTGTCTTTAATTCGTCCTCAATGCGCTCCAAACAAACCTAACCCTAAAATAAGTAAACAGCTTATTTATCCCAAACATTCTTTTCATCTTCAGAATATATTAGCCCTCCAATATTCTTAACATATTAATCCTTGTAATATACTAAATCCTTACTCTATAGTCAAATCTTCCTCAATGCAAATAAGTTACTCGGGTAAAATAAAACCTGCATCAGATACTTGCTGTTCAATCTACCTTTAACCCAGGAATCCTCAGTGCCACTTCACAGTACAAACAGGAAAATGGCCATTGATAGTATATTAAGCAATTTTTTTCACCTTTACCACCATTAATTTTACTAAAAATTACTTTCAGATTATTTATAACTGATTCTAACAAATTCCAGACTATTTTTTTTTCTTTTTCTTCTTTTTATTTAGTTCATATAATTTAGTTCTATATATTTTTTAACTTTTTTATTATATATATTTTTTTAAATTATAGATCCACAGCTCCCAGATTTAGTGGTGAATAGCATTATGAGAATAATGAAGACAACACAAAGGAGAATAAGTATGAGAACATACAAAAAAAAAATGCTTTCCTAGACCTTATAATAACAAAAACGCTATCTTGCCCAACAACTTTTAGAGAGGATTAAATAAAATATATTAGTAATGTAATAACTTTACTGTTGACGATAGAAGACTAGTGTCATTACCATCCAAAATAGCCCTTTCATTACTCTACAAAGGTAATATCCACTTAATATATCCATTTCATTCAATGATACCAGTTTAGCAAACTTCCATTTGGGCACAGGTTTTCCTTCTTTTTTTTGTATGTTTTATTATTTTTTAATTTTTTTTTATATTAATCTTTAAAATATTTTAGTTTTTCAAATATTTTCGATTTGTTTTCTTTTTTTTTTAAGTTTTTTGTTGTTTTTTTTTTAATTTTTTTCTCGAATAAATTTTGTGTAGATTAACACATACATATACATTATCTCTTAAGGATCTTAGGGAGGTATCTGATCTGAGGAAAGGGACAGTCGATAGAGAAAACTGGCTCTCTGCTGATGAATGAGATGAGGCACACTCTACTCGACAAGCTGGCCTGGCTGCCGAGGGATACGATGACTTAGGGAAAATGGTGCCTCCTCCGAAGGCCCCCGAGGCTGCCGTACTACAACCAGTTTTGGCCCATCGTCAACAGACACAGTACGCAGCCGTGATATCAGCCTCTCAGGTCGAGCTTGCTGGCAGTTACTGCCATCACTAAAACACAACAAAATAAAACAATTATTAACTAAAAAAGTTACAAACAGATTTAACCCTAGAACTATAATTAAAATAAGTCATGAAAGTTAAAATTAGAAACACCATCATTTAATAGCTTAACTCTTGACTGAGTACTTAGTAAAAGATTATAAGTTCATTATGTAACTTTTCAAGGGCAAATTTAATGTGCAAATTAAGGTTATACTTAACTTCAGCTAATAGGAGAAATTTCAATCAGTAGTTTTCAAGAGATCTATGAATTTAATGCTTGTTGAATCCAGAAACAGATTTTTGGCAATTGGTCTACCTGCGTGTCTTTGTCCGAATATCATTTGAATTGGTCAATCAATTTTGTTTCTCTTAGATACCTGGGAGAGAAGGGGGAAGGCAGGAGGAAAGGGTCTTGGGTTCAAAAGTAATGTATGTTACAGAAGATAATAAGATCAAGATCAAACTCAACCACTAGGTTCTCCTCTTAATTAAATTATAAATTAAGAGTACCCTCTTTAATAAGCATGGGAGTGTCCCTAGAGGGCCTTCAGTCTTCAGTCAAGTGCAATCCAAAACTGATGTACTACAATAAATAACTACTTGCCATAGCCAGACTTGGACCTAGGCCCTAGCTGTTCTCTCCCCAAGTTGTTGTAATACTGGAATGTCAAAGTCAATTCCGAGAATTTTCAGAAACAATAATTTTTATGATATATGTTATTATATTGCTCTAACTCTCTATACATCTAAATCTCTACATAGATATTAGTGTATATATAACAAACATCGTAAAATTTATTTTTTCTGAAAATTCTTCGAATTGATGTAACTTCTGAACCGCTGAAGAAAAACTAGTAAAATAATACATATTCCTGAAGAAAATTTCATTATTAAAATCTTTCTTCCTCATGACTTAAATCGTAGAATGAATAAATCTAGAGTGAAATATTTAATATTTAATGAGGTGAAATATTTTTTTTTTTTTTTTTTTTCAAATTAGCAATAGTTGAAGACTGATATCTCAGAAACTAAGGGAGGAAGGTATACAATCAATCATATTGCAAATTTTATCAGTTTTAATTTTGTATAGAACATCTTTGTTGATGAGATGGATCGTTTCTCAAATATTAGCGAAAACCCAAAATAAAGCAATAAATGAAATTTTTTTTTTCTAAGTTAGTCATAGTTGAGGATGGATATCTAGGAAAATAAGCAAGGTAACAAAAAAAAGGAGTATAATCAATTACATTGCAAATTATATCAGCTTTAAATTTGTATAGAAGTCTTTGTTGATGAGATAGATGAGCGATATAAGCAAAAACCCAAAAAAAGTTAACCTTTTAGGCTCCTCCCCCACATCTGGCTCACCAACTGTATGTTTACCTCCATACTAGTCCTAAAGTCAAAAATTGTGACCCCAGTATTTTCTTTTATAATCATTCATTGACTGGAAAAATATTTTAAAATTTCTTTTTTTTTTCTATCTAATGTTACTTTCATTTCGAAAAATGGCAAACTAACATATTTTTTATCATTATCGTATTAAACAAAGTTCTGTCCAATCAACTAAAGCCTAAATGGAAAGTAAGAATGCTAAGGTGCCGCCATCCTCCCCCCTTTTTTACACTCAATTTTTTGCCTATTCATAAGAGATCTCCAACTAAAAGATCTAGAAACACACCCCTAAGCCATTTAGAAGCCACCTCCGTGTTTTACTGATGGCTGTAAATTTATCCAAAAATTTTACTCCAAATTTTCCCAAACATACTGCACTTTCTCGAAACAAAAAAATTCAAATTTTATTGACCCATCTCTCAATAAAACTTATTCGTTTATAATGAAAGAATGATTGAGCCTGATTATTTAAATATAATATCAGATCTAGCATTATTAAACTACAGTAAATGTATTTAAGGTTATAAATATTTCACAGAAGTACAATGAAATGGTATTTTAAAAACTTTTTCAAACTTAAAAAAAAGTTTAATTTAGTGAGAAAATCTCATTTAATTACCTTGAAAACATGTGATTTACATTAAATAATGTTAGTTTTCAGTAATTATTATTTATATTTTTTTCGTCATTCTTCGTTACCTTTTACAACTTTATTTATTAGATTAATTTTTCTAAAATTCTTCACTTTCTAACAATATGTTATACGTATATCTTCTGACTAGTATTTCCGGAGATTCATTTTCGACCTAGATAAGCATTTTTTCTTTTTTTCTGCTTTATTTAATTATCAAATTCTTTTAAAAGTTATATTTAGAATTTTTTCATAATTCTTAATAATGAGATAGTTAATTATTCAAAATAAACCAAGAATGCTAAGAAATAAACCTAAACAAATGAACCGATTTCAATGAAACTTCGCGTAAGTCATTTTCTCGACACCCTTTAAATTTATCTATATAATATACTTCAACGAAAAGAAGCTGGAAAAAAGTTACGAGGGATGGTAAAATTAAGTTCCGAATAACCCAAAAAGTATACACTTTTTTGTCGATATTGTATATGGTTTTTTAAAAGTTTACGGAATTTTCTAAAAAACAAAATAAAATTCGTTAAAATTGGACAATTAGGAGGAAAGATATGGTCTGTAGCTTTTTTTTTTAATATGTTCTGCTCCTAAGCATCTTTTGTTTTATTTTTTGAATTTTGTTTTAGCATATTACTAATGATTAAAAAAAAGTTTAGTCCAATAATTGGAATCACCCTTAATTTTGTTTTATTTTTAACTTGGAAGGTAATGATACTTTAGAGGTATAATTGTTATTAAAAAATAGTAAACCATTGTGAAATAATTTGCAGAGTTTTTCATTTACAGTACATATTGTTGACTGGTTAATATTCATTTTTTTAAATGTTATAATGTGTTTTGTTGTATAAATGTGCTAATGTCCAATAGTCAGTCATCTAAAAGGATATTTTATCTTTTTGTTTTCAGATGAACATTCAAAATATACCGTAAAAACAGATTTTATCCCGGAAGAGGCGAAAATTTGGATAAATTTAAAATATACTTTTTTAATTGTTGAGAATAAAAAAAAAACTTTTTTCTACAGATATTTAATAAAGTATCTTTCATAAGAAATAGGTACCTAAATTCATACCTTTTTCACCGTTCTATATTTCAACACTGCAATCACCACCTCCGGAATCAACTTACTCACTGTCTGCATAGATAACTTTTTCAACTAAAAATATCACTAAAATGACATTATTAAAAAATGTTGAAATTGGAGTTGGAGTCATTCTGTGGTTTATAAAAGCAAAGAAAGTTGTGTGGTTTATAAAAGCAGATGGAGTGACTAAATTTTTATTGCCTACCGTCGATATATTAAATAGACATTTTGTAATTATAATGGTCTTAATGACTTGTTATCTATAAGCTTTAAGGTTTATCTCTGTTTAAAATGCATTTAAAAAAAAATTTATAATAGCCCAGCATTGCCAGAAAGTAATTGCTAGTAGTGCGGTAAGTGAAAGTTGTGTGTTGCGCGCACCAGATTCTTTCAATTACAATGTGAATTTTTTTGGTATCTCAAGAAAAGATTCAAATTTTTTCAATGGTAATTAAATCATTTTCACATCAGTTTTCAACAACTTAACTAGTTTTGGTCAGACCATAGAAGTAAGATTTAAGGGTAGCAGAAAACCTAAATTCATTTAAATCAACAGTTCAGAAATGAAGATATTTATTCCTCTCCACGGCTGGCTTCAGACTGATCCAACAATGATAAAACCAAGAACCACAATCTTTGTCAACATACTTCCTTTGGCAGAGTCTGTTGTTAATATTCAATGTTAATGTTCAAGTAATACAAGTTAAAAATATATTAACTATGAATGTTAAAATAAATAAGGATATGATTAACTTCTTGAACTGTTTAACACACTAAAATATTAAGTATTAGCAGCTTATTAACATTAAAAACAAGCAAGTGAAAACAGGTGACCTTAAAAAATTTATTTTGAAAAAGGAATCAAGAAACTATCCAAAACTTACGACAATTTTAATTTCTTATTCCGTTTACCCATTCTTCAGGGTATGAGTCTTCTTGCACCATCCAACACCCCAACTATCAGGAAAGAAACAACAAAAAGCCCCATCACATATTCTCCTCAGACTAAAGATCAAAGACACGTGACTTGCAGGAAGGTAACACCAAGGTTTATTGACAGCTGAACCATGCTGAAACCATCGGGCGTGCCAAAACAAGAAAAATTACTCAAGAAAATTTGGTATTGTTTAAAAAGAGTATCCGTATCCGCAAATAATAAGTTCGCATAGCTAATTATTAATACGGAAATTTAATAAGCTACTAATTAAAAATTAAAATACATGATGTGTTATCGGGAGTTTATATAAAATAAAAACATAACAACTCCTAAAAGTACGACTCAATTAAGAAAAGCAATGTAAAACCATATAGAAGAGACTCCCGGAGACATCGCTGATTATATTATGTAAAAACACTACAAATTATTATTACACAATGGTTTATTATTTCTAAACAATTATACATCAAAAGTAACATAACATTCCTTGCAACATAAAGGAAAATAAATAAAAGGTGATTCCTATTATTGTTCTAAATACTTTTCTTTTCATCATTAGCAATTAGCTAAGAAAAATAGTCAACATTCTTCAGTTGATGTAACACATACAAAAAATAAAAAACAAAAACGAAGGGTATAAGCTTTGCAGCAAAACATATGAAAAATGAATATAGAACACCATATCCTTTGCTCCAAGTTGTCCAATTTTAACAATTTTTTGTTAGTTGTTTACGAAATTTCGTTAACTTTCAGAAAACCAATTTCAGAAATCTAATTTTACCACCCTTCGATAGATATTTGTTTTTCCAGCTTCTGTTCATTGAATTATGTCATATATATAAATTTGAATGTCATCGAGAATACTTGGGCCAAGTTTCATTGAAATCCGTATACTCGTTTACGCGCTAGTCGATACCAACGCAGGTTTTTTTTTCGTCGCCGTC